GGAGAGACCCTCATTTTATACATTATGTAGGGTAAACCGTCGTCACATTGGATGTACAAGTGATTGACTACAAGGGGTCAAGAGTACGGGGCGTAATGCACCGAGTATGACTACTACCACTACTACTACCACTGCTGCTACTACTACTACCACTACTACCACTACTACCACTACTACTACTACTACTACTACCACTACTACCACTACTACCGCTACTACTACTACTACTATTGCTACCCCTACTACCACTACTACATAAACGATATGAACGGAGTAGTACAAGTACTTCACAACTACTCGTAGACTGTACAGATGTAGTGATGATAATACTCGGTACTGATACAAAATAATATGACGGCAAAGTAATCTGTACGTACATAGTCTGTACTCTACTGGTATCATATGGAGTACGGATAACCAAGCCTGCGTGGCAAGTCGTCGCCCGTGGTTGCCGTTTAATGCCAGCACCGATCCGTATTATGTGTACTCTGTATTACTACAGTAGTATTTATGTACTACTGCTATTTCTACTCCGTATTACGGTAGCTCTCCTGTCTCTGCTGTAGTCGTGTACTAAGATTGCTGGTCATCCCTCCTCTCCACTACAACCCACACACATCTCTCTCTTCTTCTTGCACATCCTTCAGAACCAACGCAGATAAATCGAGGGGAAACAAGAAAGGGCTAATTCAGCCGGCAAAACGTCGTCGCCTCGACCCGAGCCATGGCTCCTCTCGCCTACTACCCGTGATCACCTTCATCTCCGTGTGTTCGCTTCTGATTGAAGAATATTCTTCGCTTGTGCGTACGGCTACGAAACGACGGACAATCGAAGAAGGGCTGCGAGCGCGCCGGTGTGTGCATCCGCATCATCCAAGGTGGCCGAGCATGTCGTCTCATCGCGACGACTTGGACCATCTGTACCCTGACCGGTTTGGCAACCCGCATCACGCCGCCCGACCGGCACGCCCCGTCTTTGAGCGCATGAGCGAAGCGACCGTCATAATCACCATCGTCATCATCGTCTTTACCGTTGTCTATCCCCTGTACACGTCATCCGACCGATTCGTCGAGATCATCTACGCCGTCGGCGAGAGCCTGTGGGACGCCACCATCTACGTGCTTCCCTCGAACCTCGTATTCGCCGTCGACGACTGGCTTGGCAGCGACAGCGAGAACGGCAACCCCACCACCGCCAACACGGACGACCAGTCGGAGCAGATGGGGGACTGCCGGCACTCCCCAGACGTCCACGCCGCCAAGAGCGCGGCCATGCGGCGCATCCTGCGGCTCGGCCGTGGCAGCGGCGTGATGGCCACGGTCCTGCAGGCCAGGAACCGCGCTCTGTCCCTGACGAGCCTCACTCTGGGCGGGAAGTCGGACCCCGACCGTCCCGCCGGCCTGGGCAACCGCGACAACTCGTGCTTCCAGAACAGCATCCTCCAGGGGCTCGCCTCGATCGAGTCCCTCCCGGCCTACCTGGCCTTCTGTCTGGGCAAGAGGCCGTCGGATGAGGGCGGCGACGCCGACGCGGCGAACAGGGTGGTGGCGCAGACGCTGAGCACGCTCCTGGCCGACCTCAACGACGCGTCCAACAACGGCAGGACGCTGTGGACGCCGAGCAAGCTCAAGTTCCTCAATACCTGGACCCAGCAGGACGCCCAGGAGTACTATTCCAAGATCCTCGACGATCTCGACAAGTGGGCCGCCAAGGCCGTCCAATCGTCGAGGCGACACTCGGGCTTCGAGTCGGACAGCTCCGCTGACGACTCCACGACCAGCCAGCACAGCGGGAACAGCGACGACAGCGGATACCAGAGTCTCTTTCCCGGTCGGAGCCCCTCTCCCTCCGACAGGATGGGCGGAAGTGGCGGCAGCGGCGCGTGCATCCGGAACCCTCTCGAGGGCCTCCTCGCCCAGCGGGTGGCGTGCGTCCAGTGCGGCTACAGCGAAGGCCTGTCGATGATTCCCTTCAACTGCCTGACGCTCAGCCTGGGTCTGCGCAGGCAGCACGACCTCTACGAGCGGCTGGACGCCTACAGCAGCCTCGAGGCCATCGAGGGCGTCGAGTGCCCCAAGTGCACGCTGCTCAAGGCGCAGAGGCTCCTGACCAAGCTGACGGAGCAGATGCGCGAGAAGGGTTCGACGGATGACCAGCTGGCCGAGCCCCTCCGCAGGCTCGAAGCCGTCGAGCTCGCCCTCGAGGAGGACAAGTTTGACGACGACACGATCGAGAACAGGTGCAAGATCACCAGCCAGGCCAAGGTCAGCACCACCAAGACGAAGCAGATTGTCGTTGCCCGTCCGCCGCGGAGCCTGGCCATCCACGTCAACCGGTCCGTGTTTGACCCGTCCACGTTCGACATGGTCAAGAACTCGGCGCCGGTTGCCTTCCCCCTCATGCTGGATCTCGGGCCGTGGTGTCTGGGCAGCGCCGGGGGCACGGACGGGGCCGACCGAGGACGGCAAGGCAGAGCAGACGGCGATGCCGAGGAGGAGGTCCGCAACGGCAACCCGGAGCGGTGGCTCCAGGACCCCACGGCGTCCATGGTAGCCGGCGACGTCAGCCCGTCGAGGCTGAGCGGCCCCGTGTACGGGCTCCGAGCCGTGGTGACGCACTCTGGCCGGCACGAGAATGGACACTACGTCTGCTACAGGAGGTATCCGCGGGCGACCCCTCCCGACATCCAGAACCGTGACCGGGCAGAAGCCACCGGTCCCGAACAGGCAGGGGAGGCACGGACCCGACATGAGAGCAGAGACGACGTTGATGATGATGATGATGATGGTCGTGGTGGTGTACCGGAGGAGGCCTCCGTCTCGGCCTCGGGCAAAAGTACCTCTCCTCCACAAGAAGAAGCAGAGGGAGAGGCAGACGACGGCGACGAGGCAGGTAGAGTTCAGACCCAGACCCAGGCTCAGACTCAGACTCTGGACGAGATGGAGTGCGAGTCCCGGTCGGACTGGTGGCGCCTGAGCGACCACAACGTGACCAAGGTGGACGAGGAGACGGTGGCGAGCCTCGGTTCGGGCGTCTTCATGCTCTTCTACGACTGCGTCGACGCGAACATGGTTGTGCAGGAGTCAGAGGAGGTATCCAGGTCGGCGGTGATGAGCCGACCGGTCGAGAAGAGTTCTCCGGCTCCGGCGTCCGTGGCTGCGGCTGCTGCCGTGGCTGCTCCCGGTGCCCCGACGTCTGGGTCCGCCGGCGCCCGGGCAGAAGTAGAGGCTGCCGAGCAGGTAGTACTTGCTGCCTAGTTCGATCGCAGCGGCCGAGGCAGTCTAGTCTCTTTCTTCTTCTTCTTTCTTCCCTTCTGCCCGGTTCGGTTGAGGATCAGCTCCTCTCGTCTGTTTTCATCACGCCGTTTTTTTCTTCTCTCTTCATATGCATAGCGACGGTGTTGGTGGCCAAGGAAGGGTATTGTCCATTACGGAGGCACGGAAAGGGGGGAGGGGAGGAACCCCATTGCTGGATGGCATGTAGGGGTTCGTCTGTAATTCATTGCTACTATCAGTTACCGGTATAGAGAGGAGAGAGAAGACAATGATTATGGTGGGCTTCTCAGCAGCAACTCGCGTATCCGTCCCTCTCAGCGTGCCTTGGTCGAGACTAGGGCAGGATTCCTACCTGAAGATGTGTGTGTGTAATCTGTACATTGCGGTCTGCAAGTGCGGGTAATATGTAGCGTCCATACAGCTGCTCCGTACTGCCGGGCATGCAATGCATATAGCAGGGGAGTATCGGTGCACGTACGAGCGAGTATACAGGCATCGGCAATCTGTACTCGTAGTAGCATCACTACAGCAGCAGCGCATACGTAACCTGTACATGTAGCATCGTGGGCTGAGGGAGGCATGGCAGGCAGGCAGGGCGCAGGCTATCGCGAGCACCGGTGATACCGCCTACAGGCTACAGGCATCACAGCCCGGAGACACCATTGCCAGCCTAGAGACACCGTTGCAGCCTACAGATATACAATACCGTGCTGACGGCTGCAGACGCGTCGTGCCTCGTCTCATGTCGTCATCCGTCAGCCCCCGGGCCTTTAGGAGATGCATGTGGGGATAGGGGGGGAATAGCAAGTGAAGGATGCCAACCCAACCGTAAAGGGTAACGGCCGGATAGCCAATCTGCACAATCGGGTAGCAAGTAGCAAAGCAGCAAGCAGAGGCGGTATCGGTAGCAACTGTGATGTATGACAGTAGTAGGCAGTTGACAAGCACCCATCTCCCATGCGTCCTTGGCACGCACTGCAAGCAGAGCCTGCAGAGGTGATGGGAGTTGAGGTGCAGTTACCTAACAGATACCCGGTCCCCCCGGGAAGGCGCTACCGAGATGTAATTTCCTCCAATTCCCCATCGATCCACGTCCGGCCCTGAGAGCTGCAAGCCTATAGCCTATTACAACCCTGCAGAGCTTCTATACATAATGTACAGAGTACAGAGTACAGAGTACAGAGTACAGAGTACAGAGTACAGAGTACAGAGTACAGAGTACAGAGTACAGAGTATTGGCCACTCCATGCAGCTGACGAATCATGTACAGACTTGGAGCTCATGTGCAGCATAAAATAATACTGGCACAACCAGCTCCAACGAGGAGTAGCTCCACGGGCAAGTAGCTCTCCAGTGATGATATCGCCCTCCACCACCCCCCCGGGCCCCATCACTCCCCTACTGGATAACAAATAGTACAGAGGCCCTGACAATCCTTTCTCTTCTTCTCCTAGTCTCCGGGTCTTTTTCTTTTTTTTTTTTTTCTTTTTCTTTTTCTTCCTTTTTCTCTCCCCCCCCCCCTCTTTTCTTTCTCTCTTATAATCATTTCCCTTCTTTCTGTCGAGTGCATACTAATACTCCGTATTACAGGTGGTAGTAGTAGTAGTAGTAGTGGTAATAGTAAGTAGTATCACCTACTGGCAGCGCACTACAGAATTACTCACCAGTACCATCATCATCATCATCTTTTCCATTGACCGTCGGCTGCCCCTTCCCTCTCCTTTCGATCTCGCCAAGACAGTCGGGGACCGCGAACCTCGAATCTTGAATCGATCGTACTGTATCTATCCATCCACTCACATATCCATCCTGCTGGCGGGAACGAACAACACCATCACCACCACCACCAGAGCACAGCACGGAGAGCGCCAAACGCGACACAAATGGTCACGTCTCCTCGCCTGTCCAGGTTCCCGCCGTCTGCTTCCGCTGCGGTGGCGACGACACCTTTGCCCTTGACAGACAGCGATGCCAAGCATCTCCAACAACATGGCTATCGTTACGACCATGCTCACGCCCACGCCCACGCCGCCGCCAAGCTGCGCGGCTTTGATGAGCCGTCTCCGGTCCAGAATCAACAGCCCGCTCGCGCCTTGACTCTCCACCCTTCACTCTACATTCTGTCCGTCCACCTTGGAGCTCTCCCACCCAGCTTCCATCAATCCACCATGCCTTCCCCCCTCCCCCACCCTACGCACGCGACTCGTACTGACACGCTGTCGCTGTCCCGACTGCTAGGAGCTGGATCTTCTTCTCCAATTGCACAATCCTCTTCAACAAGTGGCTCATTGACAATGCCGGCTTCCGTATGTCTTCTCCTCTCTACGCATCTCTCTTCTCTCTCTCTCCCTCTCTCTCTCCCTCTTAGCACCTATCTTGTCCTGTTATGCTGACCCTCCTCCCCCAATTTCAGGATACCGTATGCTCAACCCCCTCGGTGTCGCGTGAAGACAGAGAGACCATGTTGTGCAGCTCCGACAAGACAGATGATGCGGAGATACAGACAGCTGACACACATGTCAACAGCCATCCTCCTCACATGCTGGCACCTCGTCTTCGCCACGCTGGCCACGCAGATCCTCGCCCGCACCACATCCCTCCTCGACTCGCGCCACTCCCTCCCCATCGACGGCAGCCTGTACATCCGCACCATCCTCCCCATCGGCATCCTGTACTCGGGCTCGCTCGTCTGCTCCAACGCCGTCTACCTGTACCTGTCCGTGCCCTTTATCCAGATGCTCAAGTCGGCCGCCCCCGTCGTCGTCCTCTTCTTCTCGTGGCTCTGGGGCCTGGCCGACCCAGACGTGACGGCCCTGGTCAACATCGTCGTCATCGTCGCCGGCGTCGCCATGGCCAGCGCCGGCGAGATCCACTTCTCCTGGGTCGGCTTCCTGTACCAGGTAGGCGGCACCGTCTTCGAGGCCATGCGCCTCGTCATGATACAGGTCATGCTCTCCTCCGAGGGCCTCAGGGTGGATCCCCTCGTCGGACTGTACTACTACGCCCCCGTCTGCGCCCTCATGAACTTTGTCGTCGCCTTCTGGACGGAGCTGCCCACCTTTGACTCCCGTCATATATGGGATACTGGAATCATGATGCTCCTCCTTAATGCCCTCGTTGCCTTTTCGCTCAACGTTGCGAGCGTGTGCCTGGTAAGCGCCTCTCTCTCTCTCTCACTCTATCTTACACACACGCATGCATATACATACACATGAGCATGTATAAGTATTCAGCGTTCCCAAGAGGAGAACGTATCGATTGCTAACCCCCCTCCTCCTCCCCCTCCCAAAGATCGGAAGAACCTCCGGCCTAGTCATGACCCTCACCGGCATCCTCAAGAGCATCCTCCTCGTCATCACCTCCGTCCTCATCTGGAGCACACCCATCTCCCCTCTCCAGTGCTTCGGCTACTCCACCGCCCTCGTCGGACTGGTATACTACTCCCTAGGACATGACCAGCTCGTCAGCCTCTTCCACTCCATCTTCACCTGGATCCTGGAAGCCTGGAACGAAGAGGACGATATCGGCATCGACTCGGATGGCAGGAACGTTGACGCCAACAACAACGACGACGACGACGACGACGACGACGAGGCCAAGACCCGTCCTGCCAACCATGGCGACGTCTGGACACCCCAGCGTAGACGCGTGATTCTGGTTACCGGCGCGCTGTGCTTTATCAGTTCCGTCTTTGTGGCCGGCGTGTGGCATGGTCCTGCCGCCCTGCGGAGGGCGAGGGACGTCTTTCCTGGACTGCTAAGTTCAAAAAGGCTAAGTCGGTAAAAAAAAAGGAAGCATTTCTTTTACATGTTTTTTTTTTGGGGGGAGGGGGAGGGGGGTTTAATTGTTTGCTCAAACTTTTCTTGGTTTGCATTTCCTTGGGTCGGTTGGTCCTGATATCTTGCTTCATCACTCTTCTTCATGTTCATTCTTCATATTTATCTTTGCAACTCATCGACATGATGCATTTCTTCTTCTTTGCATACAAGCAGCGAAAACGGATACCCCTTTTCTGTTTTATACTCTTTCTTCCTTTTTTTCTTTTCTCCCTCCCCCCCTAGAACTAATAATACCACGCAATCTATGAGATATACATATCCAAGTCTTTTCTTTCTTTCTTTTTTTCCCTCCTTTTTTTTGTTTTTTTGTTTTGCGTCGTCTTGCTTGGTGTAAACTAGGGTGTGGCAGTATAGCAGCTGTCTATTATTATTGTTTGTTACCGTTGTTGTAGTTGATGTATGGATTGTACACGGGATCACTGCGAAGTTCCCTCAATGTCGACTTCTGCTCCGACTCCTTCTCCGACTCCGTCTCCGACTACGACTCCTGTCTCGCCTCTCACGGCGAGAAGACGGGCTCTGCTCTCTCCGTCTGTCCCTATCTCTCTCCCTCTCCCTATCTCTGTCCCTGTCCCTGTCCCTGTCCCTGTCTCTGGCCCTGTCTCTGGCCCTGTCTCTGTCTCTGTCTCTGTCCCTATCACGATACCTGGATCCATCTCTGTCGCGATCACGATCACGATTACGATCACGGTCTCTATCTCGACTGCGACTCCTAGCACGGATACTCTCTTCCCGGGCTGAACACATTGGTTAATAAGAAACGAGTTCATGACGGAGCATGGGGAAGAAAGAAACCAAAAAGGTAGAAATTAAGAAGCAAGGAGAGGAACAAAGAAAAAGAAGAGGAAAGAAAAGAAGAAGAGAAAACTCACCATCACTTATACCAGGCACGGGTAACCCCTTGTCACGAGCATCCCTCTGAGCAGCAAGATATGCCTTGGCCTCCTTCTCACGACGGGTCCTCTCCTCGCTCTTCCATTCTTCGTCGTCCCGATCACGATGAGGGTCACGGTCACGGTCACTGACGCCGTCCCTCGGCCGGACAGATGCGCGGGAACGGGATCGGCTACTCCTCCTGTCCCTCTCCCTGTCCCTGTCGCGCTCACGATCTCGACGGTCACGACTCCTGTCACGACTCCGGTCACGATCACGAGCAGGTCTATCTCTCGGTTCGTAACGGTCCGGCACGGGTCGTGCTGACTCGCGAGAGCGGCTGCGGTCGCGGTCTCTTCTGGTGCGCGACCTGCTCCTGTCGCGTCTGCTACGCGGCACGGATACAGTTCTCTCCCTCCTGTCCCTGTCCCTCTCCCTGTCCCGGTCGCGGCTCCGGTCCCGTCTTGTCGGTACTCGTGACCGGCTCCTAGTCCGGTCGCGACGGCGACGGGATCGGCTGCGTTCACGGTCGCGGTCACGGTCACGGTCGTGGCGTCTCGACCTGCTACGGTCCGCCCTGGTCCTAGAACGGCTCCGGTCGCGACGACGGTCACGATCGTCCCTCCGGTCGCGGGATCGGGACCTGTCACGTCTGGGGCGGGATCGGGACCGGCTGCCCCTGCTGTCTCGGACGTCTCTGTTCCTGACTCTGGATCTGCTCCTATCACGCCGGGGACTGCGGGAGGACCGCGAGCGGGCACGCTTGCTACGGTCACGATCGCGGTCCCTACTCTCGTCCCTGACTTTGCTGTCGCGGTCGCGATCGCGGTCGCGGTCTCCCACCGCCCTTGAGACACTCCGGCTGGATCGCTTCTCGCCTGTCGTCTTGGCGTCGGCGGGTGTGCCCGACCCCGAGCCGGAGCGTGCGCGGTCGCTGTCCTTCACGCGTGATGAGTCACGGTCGCGGCGGATGGGGTTGATGGCCGATGCAGGTGCCGTCTTGCGCGGCGGCGGGGCCAGGGCCTCGTCGACCTCGTATTCCTTCTGGCGGGTCGCGGCCTTGCTGCTCTCGCGCAGGAGATCTGCCAGGGCCTCCTGCTCTAGGCGCTCGTTCTCCTCCTTGGTCAGCTTCTCCTTGTCGTAGTCCTTGGAAGAAGCGTCCTTTGCGGAGGTGGAGGAGACGACGGGGCGGCTCCTGCTCCTGGTCCTGTCGCGGTGATCACGGTCCCGGTCACGGTCCCGGTCACGGTCACGTTCACGTTCGCGTTCACGTTCACGATCGCGACGCTCGCGGTCGCGGTGCCTCTCCTCGCGTTCGCGGTCACGTTCTCGCTCTCGCTCCTCGCGCTCCTTCTCGCGCTTCCTGCGACGTTCGTCCCGCTCCTCCTGGCGCTTGATCTCGGCCTCCTCGCGCGCCTGCTCCTCCTTCTTACGCTCCTCTCTGGCGATGCGGCGCTTCTCTTCCTCGATGGCGGCCTCCTTCTGCCGGAGCTCCTCGCGGATCCTTTCCCGCTCCGCCCGGCGGGCCTCCGTCTCGGCCGCGTACTCGTCGTCTGTCTTGGCGCCACGGATCTGCTCGGCCCGCGCGGCCTCCTCGCCTATCTCGGCCGACCGGATTGCCCTTATGCTCTCCTCGATGGCCTTCACGTCGATCAGCCGGCCGATGACGTCCTCCGACTTCTGGTACACGCCCGATCGCTCGAGGGCGCCGTCGATGAGCGCGGCAGCCTTGCGGCGGTCGAGGGTGAGGAGCTGCTGGGGGTTCCTCTCGACTTCTCTCTCAGCCACCTCGAGTATCGACTTCGTCACCTGGGCTTCGTAGTCCTGCGGGAGTGATTAGCCTATTAATCAATGGGAAGATAGCGACGCCGGAGAGAATATAGCGATGGAGCAACAGCAAGAGCAAACATTATCGGTGAACGACAACCGCCGAAGCTCCGGAGGGAAACAGATCGATGGAGCTAAACATACGCTGGCTTTGAACTTGTCCCACACCTGCTTTCGAATCGTATCGTAGGCTCCCTCCTTCTTGAAGGCATGCGCGAGAGATCCAATGGCGGCGCGTGTCGCAGAAGGCAGAGGCAGCTCCGACGACTTGAATTTCCGGACTGCGGGCTTCTCGCCACTAGGTGCGCCATTGCCGGCTACCTTTTCTGTCGTTGAGGAAGTCATGATCGGCGCGCTCGATGGGGGGATGGGGGGGGACATAGCCCCAAGTTTACGTCGGAACGTTGGTGGAGATCTGCTCGATTGAAAAACGAGGTTTCAACACATCTCTATTCGAAACCTCTGGTTCGCGTTTCCTAACCTGCGTGTCGGAGAGGGAAAAAGTTCGTTTCGTGAGTTGCGTTGCTTGATTCGATGAGGATTGTTCCTTAAACGAAGAGTTCCACAGGAGCCAGACGCGCGAATGGTCCTGACACCACGCCAGCTCACGTGATTCGTTTTACCTGCGATGTCGGACTGGACGCATTCATCGTTTTCTCAATTGTGTTTCCCTGTAACATCAAGTTCACACGCATTGCATTGCCTTTCGTTGGAAATTTTTTAAAAGTTTCTCACCCTTGAGTTGGTGGTTAGGGCAGCCGTCACAAGCATCATCGATAGAGCACAATATATAGGAAACACGTTGATGAAAAGCGACTGGATCGGGGGGGTATAGGAAAACACCACGAGAGGCGAATACATAGCATGAAAAATTACATGTGAATTATACTGAAGTAATGGATGAGCGCAGTGGATATCATACTGACCAATTCGTCAAATTCGTAGTCTGTGGGGAGAGATGGGTAAAAGCCCATGCTTCGTAAAAACGCCATGCCAGAAAAAAAAGGGAGAGAAACGAAGGAGTGCTACAGCCGCTGTTTAAGATGAGGCAGAGAGAATACAATGCCTGATGTTTTTCTAAAACTCGCCCTCTCCGCCATTTCCAAAGATGCCAGCCACGCCGAGGCCAATGAGCCCCCACCAGCTGACCTTCCATCCTCTCCAGAGACCCTCAACACCCTGGCCCTTCTTGTATGTAGGCGTAGCAATGGGAGAAGCAGCCTTGGTCTTGGCAGCAGCCCTGCCCCTCCTAGCGGGGGTCGAGGTAGGCTTGCTGGCGTCGGTAGTCGGCAGAATCTCCCTCTCGCCCTCCTCGGAGGCGATGTGCAACATGGTACCGATGACGCCATTGTACCGTCCGATGGGGACGATCGTGTCCATCTTCTGTTCCTTGCCGCCCAGGGCCTGGATATACTCCTTTCCGTAGAGGACGGCCATGTGGCCACGGCGCAGGACCGTCTCCAGAGGCAGCTTGACGAAGATGGCGGCCGACGAGGCGCAGAACTTGGCAACGGAGAAGGTCAGGGGTGATATCTGGCTGTCGATCATGAAGCGGGTGCGCAGGACGAGCGGGGTCGAGAGGGTGAGCACCGGGTGCACGAGGGAGTTGAGAATGGTGGGCACGATGAGCTCCGAGGGGCAGGTGTAGGACGGGAGCGATCGGAGATTGGCCAACGTCCGGCGCTGCCCACGGGTGGTGGGCGTGGCGATGAGCCTGCAGCTTGTGTCAGCATCAATCATTCTTCATCATCACACCGCGACGATGCTTACCTCGTGCGCACAAGGTCCAGAGGGGCCAGAAGGACTCCGGTAGCCACAGCCGCGGCCGAGGCGACAAACAGCGAGGCCCAGGGGTAGGGGGAAGCAATGTCGACGAGACGGTCGATATCATCCTTGACCCCGAGATCGGGGACGTTGAAGATGGCGCTGAGGAAGCTTCGCGACCAGTTCTCCAAGAGGGACTGCAGGACCGTGTACAGGAACGTCGCGTTGGAGCCCTTCCAAACGCCCCACACGCCCTCCTTGGACCACAAGGCGGAGAGGACGTTGGATACGGAATCGGCGCTCTGGACGTTGATGAAGTGCTCGGGGAGGGCGGGCTTCTTGGAGGACGATGACCGCAGCGATCCGGTGGGAGAGTCAACCCCATCTTGTCCGCCGGTCCGGGCACGGGTATGCGACGGTGTCGGCGTGCTGTGTACGTTGGAGGTAAAGAAGGCAGGCTCATCGCCGTCAGAGTCAGAGTCGTCGTCATACTGGGACAAGGGGCGGGCAGGGTCAGTCACATGCAATTGAGATTTTTTTCTTCTTCCGTCTGAAAATGGCACGAAAGGGAAGATAAGTGCACTCACGTCGTAGGCGGAGCTGTTGTAGCTCATCGTCCGACTCTTTGGCGTAATTGGGGCATCGATAGTGGGTAGCGCGGCTTTCGTATCCTGGTCACGGATCTGCAGAATGATCTTTGCCACCTCGAAGGGCTGAGCCATCAAGACAGAGGTATACTTCCACAGAAGCTCATCAAGTAGATCCTTGGCATTCCGGACGATGGAAGGCGTATCGTCGCCGTTGATGTACCTATCGTAGTCAAGGTCGGACAGGACGCTACGCGCGGCAGTAGCGTACCTAGGAGGCGAAGATGGTGATGATGTGGTGGTGGTGATGTTTCGTCCCCCACCGGAAAGGACGGATGTCGGACCGTTCGTCGTGGCGGCCGAGTCGACACGCTCTCCGATGGTAGGGGGGATATAATACGGCCTCAGGGGGTTAACCCCGTCCGAGTGCGTCGTCATGATGGGCGGGATGTATGAGGAAGCATCTGGTGATGGTGGTGATGATGATGCTGGAGGAGAAGGGTCTGATAATAGTGAGATTTATTATCGAGGGATGGAAAATGATGAACCCGAGACCGGACCCAGGGGAGGGGAGGGGGGGGGGGGGGGGGGGGGGGGGGGGGGGGGGAGGTGGACCAAGGCCGAAGGTAAAAGACGAGGTTGGGTTGGGTTTGGGGGGTTTTTTTTGGGTGTGTGTGTGTGTGTGTGTGGTGGAAGAGAAGAGGCTTCCAGCATCGGAGCATGAAATCAAATCATAGTTGATCGACTGGTTCTCGGAGTTAGCAGTGGACCGCGGCGAATGGATAACCCGACGCGATAGAGGCGGCTTATCGGAGCTCCAACGGTAGGGAATTATCTTGATCGGATTTTTTTTTCCCTTTCTGCTTTGCTGTGTGTCCCCCTCCCCTTTCGGGATTCGCGAATGACATAGACAACGGGTCTCTCCTCTCTCTCTCTATTGAAAAGTCGGCAGTAACTCTTTCGTAATTTGCGATCCTCTACTGTCTATATTGTCCTCGTGTCTAGCATATAGCTAGGTGCATCTCCCAGGGTCTATAACCCATCCTCTCTCTCCTCAATCGTCATCGTCACACACACACACCCGCACATATAGACACCGTCGCCGGCCCTCCCGCCATGTCAGCCTCGAGACCCTTCTCCGCCAGCTTCGCTAGGCTGGCGTCAGTCGCATGCCCTCGGACCCAGCGGTCCTACACAGCACATTCCCTCTCGCGGTTATCGAGGTCATATGTCGCGTCATCTATCCGTCGATCAACGCCCTCATCGGCTATCATCCGTCGCGCCGCCCACCCTCGAACCTTTACCACCACCACGCCCCGGAGGCACGGCCACATCGATCCTCCCAAGCCAGGAGAAGAGTGAGTCCGTCCTCTCTTGCGTCTTTTATATCTTCCCTTCTTATCTTCCCGTCTTTGCCGCATACGTATATCAGAGGGCGGAAGATTAGTGCTGACTCAGACATTGGGGGGGAAAAAAAGACTCTACGTAACTTTTATCGAAAAGGACGGCGAGGAGTACAAGTTTGCCGTCAAAGAGGGCGACAACCTGCTCGACATTGCCCAGGCCAACGATCTCGAGATGGAGGGCGCTTGCGGAGGCTCCTGCGCCTGCTCCACGTGCCACGTCGTAGTCGTCGACGAGAACTATTACGACAGCATCCCCGAGCCCGAGGACGACGAGAACGACATGCTTGACTTGGCTTTCGGTCTGACCGAGACGAGTAGGCTGGGGTGTCAGGTCTACATGACCAAGGAGCTGGATGGGCTGGTTGTCAAGCTGCCTTCGATGACGAGGAATCTGCAGAGCAGCGACTTCCAGTAGAGGAAGAAGAAGAAAAGGAGAAGGACGCGAATATCCTGTATTGTACGATTATCACTACCTGTCCGGGAATAGACATGGCGAAGCATATGGGGTTGGGGGAAATTCACTGTACACCATACGTTATAATTCTGTCGAAGAAAGAGAAAAAAAAAAGCATATGACAAAGGGGAAAACTTGTCTAAACCCTTCTCCTGATCTTCTCTCTCTCTTTTCGTGCCAGCTCTGCATATACGAGACCTCATGACATGACATGGATGTGAGATAACAGAAGACTTGAGAGACAGATCATGCCTCCTCCAATGCCGCCTTGGACAGACCACCTCCCCCCGACGCAATCAGGTCCAAGAAACCCTTCTTGGTCATGTCGTTGACCTTTTCCACCCTCTTATCCATACCGATGATTCCGTCCTTGCGCGCCTCCCTCTCGGCCTCGATGGCAGCTACCTGCGCCGCCCTGACGGCGTTGAACAGCTTGACGACGCCGCGCTGCGCGACCTTGCGCAGCCGGCGCTCCGTGCCCAGGACCTCGGCCGTGGTCGACTCAGCCTCTCCCGTCGTCTCGTTGCGCGTGGCGACGAGCACGTCCCTGACGCGGCCCTTTTCGGCTGCCAGCCTCTTCTGGTCGCGAATCTGTTTGCGGGCCTTGGCCTCGAGCGCGCTGTCCTGGAGGGCCCGCGAGGCCTCGTGGGCCTCCAGGCTGCGTGACAGAACGGGGTCGCTCCGTTTCGACGACGTGAGCTTGGTCGACAGGATGGCCGACATGGACTTGGCGAATGCGCTGTTGTCGTTCTTCTTCTTGGACAGAGACTTGCCGTTCAGCTCGTCAAACTCATCCTCCTCCTCCTCATCGTCATCATCATCATCGTCGTCGTCGTCGTCGTCGTTGTCGTCAGGTGACCCCGCTGCTTCCTCTTGGTCTTCATTATCGTCCTCTGACTCGGGCTCCGGTGCCCTTTTCGCCTTCAGTGACATCTTGGGCGCTGCCACCGCCGACTTCTTGGCGGGCTTCTTCTGGTCATCCTCCGAGCTGGAGAGGGGGCCGTCGTCTCCACCATCGTCTGATTCGACAGCCTGGTCAATTGTCGCATTGTGAATATCCTCGCCGTCCGAGTCGAGAAGGTTGACGGGGTCAAAGTCGTCGCCTGCCTTTGCCGTCGGTGCTTCCTCCTCCTCGGAGTCGCTGTGGTATCGTTGCTGTCTGCGCTTCTGCTTCTTCTGGGGTCGCTGTACCCGGGATTCGGCGTTCCGCTTCTTGGTGTGCCTGCTTGGAGGCATGGTGGGGATGTTTAGGTGTGTCTTTTTCGTTCTTTCTGACCTTTTTCCAGAAGAATAGTTGAGAATGCATGCAGATGCTGCCGCCTGCAAAAAAAAAAGTTTGGCAAAATTCCCTTTTTTGCCGCTCTGTTTTGCCCCAATTCGGCGGGGCTGATGCTGCTGTGATGGCGGACGCCTATTTAGGAAGGCGGTCGGTATCTACTAAGAGCGAGCGCTGGGTAGATTACAGACTATCACCCCGTGTAATGATGTCTGCTATTGATACGCTGTAGCATCACCTTCGCAGCACCATTAACTTACTTGTACGTCTTTCCCGACCGGGTAGAAAGAGGGTAAGAGAAAGGGTGGGAATATAAAGATGTTTATATGTATATGCTCCATCTATTGTTCGAACTACATATTGGTTTTCTCAGACTCTGATGACACAGCTACAGCTGCTTATATTGGCTGTACACGGCGCTGGAAACGCGGAATGTCCCTGGTGAACTTCTCGGGGTCATCACGCGCACCGTCCTTCCAGTACTCGTATTCGATCCACGCATTTTCGGGCATCTGCTCCTCCATTGCGGCCATCCAATTTCCAAGTTCGGGGCTCAGGGGGATGACACCAGTCTCGAGAACGTACTGATCCCACAGCTTGATGAGCGCCTGCAGCCTCTCGGGCTCCTTCTCCGCCAGGTCGTGGATCTCCCCTGGGTCCTTGGCCAGGTTGTACAGCTGCCACTTCTCGGGACCCTTGGGCTTGGGGATGAAGACGATCTTCCAGTCTCCCTTGCGGACGGCGGCGCGGCCACACGTCTCCCAGCCGTTGATGAAGTCCTCTTCGTGGACGCGCGATTCCTTGTTGAGAAGGTAGGGTACCATGGACTTGCCACGCATTCCGACAATCTCGCGGCCCTGGTACGTCGGGGCGGGGTGCTTGACGCCAGCCATCTCTAGGATGGTGGGGGCCAGGTCCATGACGGTGGAGAACTGGTGCGTGATGCTGCTGCGCTCGATGCTGTCGTCCAAGAAGCCTACGGGGGGCTTCATGAGGAACGGCACCCGCACCCCGCCCTCGGTCGTGTAGGCCTTGTACAGCCGGCTCGGGGCTGTGGCGGCCTGAGCCCAGCGCGGCCCGTACCAGATGAAGGAGTCTCCGTTTCCGAGGTTGTCCACGTTGTTGTTGTAGTACTTCCTGAGGTGCTGCATCATGTTTCCTTGCACGATGGGGTACGTCTCGTAGGCGGCACCCTCGGCGCCATTGTCCGACAGGAAGCACACGAGCGTGTTGTCCAACTCGCCCGTATCGTCGAGGTAGCCGACTACCTTGCCGACGTTGATGTCTATGGACTCGACCATGCCCGCAAACACCTCCATGGCGCGGGCCGAGTTGCGCTTCTCCCCGTCGCTCAGCTCGCTCCACTCCTTGACCTCCTCGGCCGAGACAGGGTGGGGTTCAACGTCCTGGGGCACCATGCCCAAGTCCTTGAGGCGCTGAAGTCGCTTGAGGCGGAGGGCGTCGGGGCCGTCGTCGTAGACGCCGCGGTATCTGCGGATGAGTTCCTGGGGTGCTTGGAGGGGCCAATGGGGGGCCGTGAAGGGCAGGTAGCCGAAGAACGGGCGCTCGTCTCCCCCCTCCTTGCGGTCCTTGAGGTATCGGAGCATCTTGTCACCGTAGCCGTTGGACGAGTACCACCCCTCGGGGAGCTGGCGGACATACTCGCCGTCCTCGCTGTGCAGCGCGATGACGCTCATCGTGAGGAATTCGGGCGACTGCTCGCCAGCCTCGAGCTGCGGCTCGTAGGCGTAGTGGTTACTACAGGCCGGGAGATGGGCAAAGCTACGTTCGAACCCGCGGACCTTGGGGCTCCTCTCCGGCGTCAGGCCCAGGTGCCACTTGCCCGCCATGAGTGTGCTGTAGCCGGCATCGCGGAGCACCTCGGGCAGAGCAACGACGCGCTCATTGAGGTAGCCTTCATATCCCGGCATACCCCTCTGGACATTGGTAGACATCTTGCCTGAGGGGTCATTCTGGCCCGAGATGTTTGTCCATTCGATCAGGTTACCCAGACCGGCAATGTGGTTGTCGGTGCCGGTCATGATCATGGCGCGCGAGGGAGAACAGGCGGCGGCGGCGTGGAAGTCGGTGAATCGGAGGCCATTGCGAGCTAGCTTGTCAATGTTGGGAGTGTTGATCTCGCCGCCAAAGCAACCAAGGTCGGAGAAACCCAGGTCGTCGGCGACGATGACGAGGAAATTTGGCTGCTTGGAGGGCGCCATGACGGAGAGGGGCAGTATGTAGAGTTGGCAGTCTGCTCTTCTTCTTTGCCAGCCCTTGACAAGCGCTCTACCAATTGAGTATTGAGTATACCTGCAGGCCCCGCCCTCTCGTTGATGAGTAGAGCTCTCTACCTTGACAAGGAACGGGTATTGGACCTCGGGCGTCAATGTTAGAGGTATAAATGAATGGATTGAGGGGGGGCAGACAGATAGAGGAGAATGAGGGGGGAAGAAAGGGTCCGATGATCGGTGCAACATTGTCTCATACGCGCACGAATGAGTTTACTTGGTTCTCCCATTATTACTGTCCTACAGCTATTACTCTCTTTGACTCAATAGCTCTGTGCATTGACACATGATGCAATACTGTCTTGTTACGCACCTGCCTTTCTGCATGGATGCGCGTTCAAGGGAAGGTGCGCGGCGTAGACGGGTACCAATGCAACTTGCCCAATACAGGGAAACCCAGCCGACAACCGAGATATTGCTAGCAATTGCAGCGCTAGCAATAATACAGCCTCAGAATAGAGATACGCAGTATTTTAGCTGGTAGAAGTACTGCTAGCAGTGTTCCGTGTGCTGTAATACGCTGAATGCTATGCCGTATTACATTGTACGTTATTATAACTTATAACTTATCATGCAGACGACAATAGATGTGGTATAAGGCAAGTGCCACTGTGCTACTTCGCGCTAGTATTTGATCGTACCTTCCTAGAATGAACTATTCCTGATCCGGGAAGCATCACCGACTACCGAAAACCATCTCGGTCGGCTTCTCATCCTACATCCTATGCACACCGAGTCACCGACGCAGTGGGCCGTCAGGTAGACGGGGATCAAAGACCATCATCATTCGGCATGCATCGTCAATTCCAAGCCGACGGTAGTTTGGACAAAGTCTGGGCATGATACGATGAAACAAACGCCAGTTCCCGCAAACGTTGAGAGTGGACACCACCCCGATCTTCACGGGCTTGAAGTGGGAATACCAAGGTTCTGCTACTGCATGGTTGAGGCGCCCGTTGTGGAGCAAAGAGCTGCTGAGATGGCTGATAATTCGACAAGACGCTGGTTGCGTGATTGACCCCCCTGCTGTGTGTGCTCGCTCTTTGTGTTCTGCTCCCACGAGTACCGAGTACCATGACGACGAACTCCCTTACCCCTACAACTTGTACTAACTCGATTCAACAGTACACCGTACAAGTATTAGCAACACTTTCCGACGGCGGCTCATCTGATGTTTCTACTCAAAACGGTAGGACGGCTGCTCAGCACTTGTATATATATATGTATGTATATATATACACACATATATATATCATACCGTGCCCATCATGCTTTCCGTCCGAGTTGACCTGCACCTATCGACAACACACCGCCAACAGCATCTGCCGCACATCTCTGTTGTTCTCCAGGGACCGTGACACCTCTTTTGTTCCCTCCCTGACATTGTTGCGGAAATGGCTGCAAGAAACCACCTCGGACGCCTTCATGCCTACTGGCTGGGCTCCGTTGTATGCATGGGCGGTTTTCTGTTCGGCTACGATAGTGGAATGTGAGTTTGACAACGAACGCGCCCAACCGGATATTGCCGCCGGGGGTAGAAGCTAACGAGCCCTCTTTCTTTCCTCTGCTGCAGTGTCGGAGGTGTTCTCACCATGGCATCGTTTGAGCGCGACTACGGTTACGGAAAGGCGACGGAGACGCGAACTAACTCCCTCGCCGTCGGCTTGCAGCAGCTAGGAGCCTTTGTTGGATGTTTCATTGCCTGGCCCATTACTGCCAGGCTCGGGCGCAAGCTTCCGCTCATGATCTTCTCTTTGGTCTTCTGCATCGGCGCTATGATTCAGACCATCAACACTGGTTCCCTGGCAGCATTCTACGTCGGTCGTGTCATCGCAGGACTAGGCCTGGGATCATCCACCGTTGTAACACCCATGTTCAACAGTGAGATGACGCCCAAGGAGCTTCGAGGCCAGATTGGTTCCTTTTTCCAGCTTTTCTACACCATTGTACGCGTATCCCTCCACCTCCCCGCATTCCATTGGATACCCACCTACTAACACAACTCCAGGGCATCTTCACATCGTACTGGGTTGACTACGGTGTCGCCAAGTTACCTGATGACCCTACAAAGGAGTGGCAGATACCTATCGGACTCCAGATCCTCCCGGCAGCCATTCTCGGCCTGGGAACCCTTACTCTCAAGGAAAGCACCCGCTGGCTGACCAAGAAGGGCCGTCACGATGAGGCCTGGGAGAGCTTGAAGTGGATCCGAGCCGACGATTCCCAGACCGTGGCCGACGAGATGGAAGAGATTCGCCAGGGAGTCGAGTACGAGAACCAACAGACGGAAGGCTTTCATATCAAAGGTGTGTATCGCCCACTCCCCACAGAACATAGGCCAAGACATGTATGTACTTACCACCTTTTCAAATAGAGCTCCTCCAGCTCTCCAACTTCAAGCAAGTCTCGGCAGCCGTCTGCATCATGATGGCTCAACAAGCCACAGGAGCCACAGCCTTTGCCTACTTTGGCCCCCAGTACTTCTCGTTGCTTGTCGGCCCCGGCGACCGCAACCTCCTCCTGACGGCAATCTTTGGCGCCATCAAGGTGGCCGCCTGCGGCTTCTTCGTCATCTTCCTCGCCGACCGCCTGTCGCGTCGCCTCGTCATGATTGGCGGCGCCGCCCTCATGGCCGCCTGCCAGATCACCACGGCCGCCGTCGTCAAGGCCAAACCTCCTCCCACAGAGACGAACTCGGGGGTCACTCCTTCGGGAATCGCCACCATCGCTCTCATCTACCTCTTCGTCATCATCTACAACTTCAGCTGGGGTCCTCTCCCCTGGCCTTATATATCCGAGTACGTTTATCCTCCTTGCCACCTTGGTCCCCTTTATGCTCGAGAGACCCAACTGACTATTGTTTCCCAGGATCTTCTCCGCTCGTATTCGTGAGCCAGGTATGTCCGCCGGCGTTGCCTCCCAGTGGCTCTTCAACTTTGTTTTCTCCTTCGCCACTCCCTACATGATGGACGACATGGGGTGGGGCACGTTCCTCCTCTGGGGTGTCTTTGACATTGTCATCGCCATCATCGTCTTCTTCTTCATCAAGGAGACCAAGGGTCTATCGCTCGAGCAGATTGCCCACCGGGGAGACCAGAATCAACGGGCTGTCAACCACAAGACGAGTGACGATCTCAGTGACTCGCGGAGGGCGACTGTCGACCATGTCTCCAAGTAGCGGAGGGGCTGGGATCAGCATCTCATGCAATAATACACAGCTTGATGTTTTACGTTTATAGAGGTTATCGCGAAGATTGTATTTTTTCTCTTTATCCGTAGCTTCTTACATGTGTCCTCCTCATTACATCTCCCCTAGCAAAACAAAAGCGATATTATTATGGTATTATAGAAATGCCAGTGGCCTAAATTCCGACAAAAAAGACATTACCTGCCAAGATGGATGCGCTTCGAGGTGGGGTTGGTTTTTCTTCTCCTTACGCCTATAACTCCAGAGGCTTCTTCACAATAATGGCCCGAGAGTTCTTGAACTTGAGACTACTCGTACACCTGCCTGATCTTAGACCACAGAGAAGACAGAGTGTTCTCGCCCTGCACCTGCCAAACGGGAGGGGGTGGGGGAGGGGGCACAATGTCCATGGACCAGCGCTCCTCGCCGTCGATGAAGAGGCGGTAGTGCAGCTGGCTCTGGCCGTCGACATCTTCGATGGTGAAGGCGCCGAACTTGGAGGTTCCGGTGGGAATGTACCTGGCATGCGGTAAGTAACGTTTCCTTGCCCGTAGAGTTGAGACATGAACCTACCCGAGCTTGATATCCTCATCATCCGTCTGCCTGTACGTATCAAAGAGGCCGGAGAACTGGTCCAGAGGACTGGTAGAAAACTCGTAGGCGGCGGCGGACTGAGGCCAGCGGGAGTCTGGAGGGGGAGGGAACTTGGTGGCGGCAAACTCGTGACGGTCTCCAGACAGGATGACGACGGGGGTGCCCTGGGCGCCAGTGTCCCACATGGCTTCAAGGATCCTGCTGCGCTCGCCGAGGAAACCGCCCCATGTGTCCTCGACGTTGATGGGCCAATTCTTGGTGAAGGGGACGGACGATGCGACAAACTTCCACTTGATCCCGCGGGGCATAGGACGGGCGAGCCACGCGAGGAAGTCTTCGAGCTGGTCCTGACCGAGCATCGTCTTGTCCGAGTCGTCGGATGGGACGTCATTGTCGGACCGGTAGCTGCGCGTGTCCATGAGGAAGAAGCTGGCGGGGCCCTGGGCGAACTCGAACCACGTGGCGTCCTGGCGGCGGGCACTGGAAGACCCAGCCTTGATAGCTGCAGGAGGATTCAGATTTCCCTGGTAGATGTTGAAGGGTTCAACGGCGGCCTTGTACAGGCTGGCTTCGTTGCCGCCGGACCAGTCGTTGGAGATCTCGTGGTCGTCGAGTACATGGATCCAGCTCAGGTTCTGTGCCACGGGAGCCCAGTCAGGCGAGGCGTACACCTGGCGGTACTTCATCCGATACTCCTCCACAGACTTGCCGAAGCGCTGGGGCACATCGATGTAGATGAAGTCGCCGAGGAAGAGCATGAATTGCGCGCCTAGATCGGGGAGCTTTGCGGCCAGGGGGCGCAGACCTGGGATGGCGAGGGCGTGATCTAGAGGGTTGTAGGGGAAGCGAGGCAGGATACACGACGTCGACAGGAACGTGTACTTGCCATCGTGGTACTCTGGCATCTGGCCTGGCTTGGGGGGCGACAGGAACTCGCCTGAGTGGTTGTTGGATGTCCGCCACTCGTAGACGCGCTGCTGGGAGTGGATAAGAGGCACCGTCATGGTTGCGGTAAAGTCGGTCTCGTCGGTGGTAGAGTGGACAACACCCGCAGTGTGCCAAAGGGTGTTGTCAAACGGCGGGTGCGGGTCCTTGATGTGGATCTCGATGCTGACGGGCATGGCGGCCTGGTCGGGCTCACGGATGAGGAACCTGGCCTCGTTGTGTGAGGTGTAGCCGAGACGGACGAACGATAGGTCGTCGGCGGGGTATAGCCACCTGCCACGATAGAGGGCGTCGGCAGTCAGGAGGACGAGCGCAAGGTTGATGGAAAAGGTCAAGGCAGACGACCAGAAATGCCTGACGCCGGGGGAGCCCCAGAGGATAATCTTCCAAGGCTTGGTGTCCTTCTCGCTCAGGACGACATCCTCCTCTATCTTGACATCATCGGTGACGACAGCCGAGCCTCCGTTGGACGAAGGGCTAACCGTCTCTTCAACGGTGACGGTGATTGTATCGTTGCGGACCTCGAGAGTCGGCACGGCGTAGTAGGCGGCGATAAAGGATGGGACGTATGCGGCGAAGCATGCAAAGACAACTGTTGGAAGGATGGCCTAGTAGGAGAGAAAATCATGGTTAGTTAGGCAAGGGGGGTTTCTGGCGTGGATACTCGATGGCTTCGACGGTCCCGACGGGCGCGGCTGATCCAAAGGACATACAGGGAACTGTAAACCGACATAGAGTCAGTGAGAGAGCGATATGAAACCTTGGTCTAATCTAGGAATCGACGTACCAGTCTGAAGAAGATGATGGCTGCGAATCTTAGAGTCGTTGATGAAACCCTGGCTAGGATCCGTTGGACGGCCATGGTGAGCAAGTTGTTTAATGAATGTGAACACAGACCAAGAAGGGAAAAGTGGTAAGGCTAAGACTTTTGAAAAGAAAGGGTATGAAACGAGAGTAGTGAAAAGATCAGGGACAGGTGTAGCCAGCACACTTCATGTCATATTACTCTTCGTTTACGTCGCTCTAGTTAGAAGAGCATAGGGGGTTGAAGCAGGAAATCAGGAGAGAAGGAGACGGAGCTTAACATAGGATGAGGTCACCACTAGGGGACATGGGTATTAGAGTGCGTAAGCAGGCATTGACCACTACGCCACAGGCAGTTCGTGACGCCACAGTTCGTTTAATTGCATTATGATGTTGAGGCCACCGTTGCGGCTGGTGACTGATGTGTGGCTAGTAGCTTTCTGCTACTGATTCAAATTTATTTTCGGTGTCGGCGTTGCTATAATTCCGCCCCGTCATAGGCTTGCTGCTGCTGCTGCTGCTGCTGCTGCTGCTGCTGCGTCGTGGCACTAACCCCCTTGTTGCCCATGAGCTGGGATCAACTTGTCGGACGAGAGTCGACGATTCATAATACACCACACCGAGCACACGCGACAACCTCCATCACCCGCCACGATGAGACTGCTGACGCTGACGCTTGGGCTCATCGCCCTCTTCGTTACCAATGTCGCTGCCACGGCACTGACCTACAACCTCCAGGCGCACGAGAAGGCCTGCTTCTACGCCGAGACCAAGAAGGACAACGAGAAGGTGGCATTCTACTTTGCCGTACGTCGCACCACCGTGAACATCACCTACCGACCACGAATGCACACCCACAGACATTCATCAGGGAACGCTTCTGCTGTTCTTTTCTGGCTGACTCGAGCATATACTGTTATAGGTGCAAAGCGGTGGATCGTTCGATGTTGACTACACTGTCGAGGGTCCCGGCAACAAGGTCATCCTGGAAGGTGAAAAGGAGCGTCAGGGTGACTTTGTCTTCACAGCTCAAAAGCTCGGAATCTACTCGTTCTGCTTCAACAACGGGATGAGCACCTTTTCTGACAAGTTTGTCGACTTTGAGATTTCGGTACGACGCGCCAACACCAGGTGAACAGGATAGAAGAAGCCAGGGAGCATCGTCGACTAACAGGTGCGCCACATAGGTCGAGAACGAGTCGCGTGCCCAGCTTCCCTCCAAGCAAGGCACCTCACCCGAGCAGACGTCAGTCCTCGAGGAATCCATCTTCAAGATTTCAGGCCAAGTCTCTACCATCTCGCGAAACCAGAAGCACTTTCGCACGCGCGAGAACCGCAACTACAGCACCGTCCAAAGTACCGAGAAGCGCATTATCAACTTTAGCATTATCCAGATCCTCTTAATTGTCTGCATGGGGGCTCTCCAGGTGTTTGTCGTCAGGTTCTTCTTCCAGGTTTGTGATCCCACCTCCCGGCTACCCTCACAAACTCAGCAACTGACAACCATTATAGGGTGCGCGCAAGGGTTACGTTTAAAAAACGGCGTCAAATAAAAAGGAGGGTAACGAAGCATTTCATGCAATGGTTATGGGTTTTTTTTGTTTGTTTTATGAGGCGCGGGCTCCCCAAGAGAGAGGCTACTTTTCCGGACATGCTGTATGGGTTTTTGGACGTGAGGCGCCGGGTCAAGCGAGGGTGTATCATCATATGTCGCAAGCACGGTATCATTCGCTTGCATCTCGCAGAGTTGGGCGAAGAGGAAAATTGTGAACGTATACGTAAATCCGCATCATTTTGTTTCTCCTGTGATGATTTGTTGTTATTGGTGTTATATTTGTTGAAGCTAGTAGAGAGTAGAGCTCCAACACGATCATGTATGTTTTGCGCAGATGTGTCTATGAAAATGTGGCTAGTGTCGCTGCGGCGCTAAGCCACAGTGGCTCACGTAAGATGAAATTCCCAACTCGCCATTGTCCTCATCACGCCAAACCTTTCCTCTCAACCACCAAAACAATAAGTTCCCCCTCCCTCCTTCGACACCACAATGGCATCGATAGCCTCATCACTGCAGGCTGCGCTGCCGAAGCCCAAGTACACGGGCGAGGAGGAGCAGGTGCCACGTCACGCGCAGCAGCGGGGGCCGCGCATCGTCGGCGCTGGACAACTCGATGAGACGCAGGTCGTTCTGAAGCGTTCGGGCCCGCCGCCATACGGCCAACGATCAGGATGGCGTCCGAGAGGACAAGAAGACTTTGGCGATGGAGGCGCCTTTCCCGAGGTCCCTGTGGCCCAGTACCCGCTCGGTATGGGCAAGAAGGGCGAGACGAAGAGCAACGCGTTGGCTGTGCAGGTTGACGCAGAAGGCAAGGTGAAATACGATGCCATCGCCAGGCAGGGCCACACCGAGGGCCGTATTGTGCATACCTCTTTCAAGGAACTCATCCCCCTCAGGCAGCGGGCCGATGCGGGCGAAATAGACCTCTCGCGACCGGACAAGGAGGCCGTCGCGGCGACGACGGACAAGACGCGAGATGCCCTGGCCAAGCTCATCAGCGGCGCCGTGGCTGCGCAGAAGCCCAAGAATGTCAACACGGGCAACCGAAAAGACGCCACGTTTGTGCGATACACCCCGGCGAATCAGATGGGCGACAACTCGAAGAAGCAGGACCGAATCATGAAGATTGTCGAGCGGCAAAGGGACCCGTTGGAGCCCCCCAAGTTCAAGCACAAGAAGATACCCCGCGGACCGCCGTCGCCTCCGCCGCCTGTCATGCACTCGCCGCCCCGCAAGCTCACAGCTGAGGACCAAGAGGCGTGGAAGATCCCGCCCCCGGTGTCCAACTGGAAGAACCCCAAGGGATTCACCGTGCCGCTGGACAAGCGGTTGGCGGCCGACGGGCGCGGTCTCCAGGACGTGGTCATCAACGACAAGCACGCCCAGGTCACGGAGGCTATCAAGATGGCGGAGCGCCATGCGCGCGAGGAGGTGCAGCAGAGGGCCAAGATGCAGCAACGCCTGGCCGAGAAGGAGAAGATGCAGAAGGAGGACAACCTACGCAACCTGGCCCAGCAGGCTCGTGCGGAGCGTTCCGAAGCGATACGCAAACGCCGGGACTCGGCAGGCTCCAGGGACTCACGCGACGACGACACTCGGAGGTCGCGTTCCCGATCGGGCAGCTACAGCAGCTACTCTGGATCCGGCAGCGAAGACGAGGAGGACAAGGCGATCCGCGAGCGTGAAAAGGCGCGCAAGGAGAGACTGCGCGAGGAGGAGAGGAAGCTGCGCCAGAACCGCATGGGCGCCGAGCGGCGCATGCAGGTCATGGCCCGCGAGCAGAACCGTGACATCTCCGAGAAGGTGGCCCTGGGACTGGCCAAGCCCACCCAGTCCAAGGAGACAATGTACGACTCGCGCCTGTTCAACCAGACCAGCGGCTTCGATAGCGGCATCAACGAGGACAACCCCTACGACAAGCCCCTTTTTGCCGCCCAAGAGGCCATCAGCAGCATCTACCGGCCCAGAGCCAACGTTGACGATGATGACGACCCGGAGGCTGGAGACAAGGAGATGGCCAAGATTCAAAAGTCGAGCCGGTTCGGTGAGGCTCTAGGAAAGGGTACATTCAAGGGAGCTGGTGAAGTCGAGGTCGGTTTTTTTCTTCTTTTTTTCCTTTATGTACTTTTCTTTTTCTTTCCTCCCTCTTTTGTCTTTCTCGAGCGTGAAAGATGATACTACGACATCTCCAAACGTGCAATGCTAACGGAGGGTATCGGTGTAACAGGCCCGCGAAGGACCCGTCCAGTTTGAAAAGGATGCCCCAGACCCTTTCAACGTCGACAAGTTCCTCTCCGAGGTGGAGCAGTCGACGTCGTCTAAGCGAGGGTACGGCCTGCAGGATGAGGGAAGCAGCAGCAGAAATACGAAGCGGGCTCGCGTCGAGGGCGAGGACGACGATTAAAGAGATGTCAGTTACATGAAGCAGGGCATTACATACGTTGTACAATTTTTTTTTTAAATTTTTTCCATCAAAATCTTCTAATCTGAATGTCGCTGCCGACGCAGCTGTCACTCCCTTCCACCATCTCTGAGCTGTAGACCCACCAACCATGGCCCTGCTTGTTTATCGGAGCATCGCACTATGCGGTTTTTTTTTTTTAAAGAGTAGATGTTTTTTTGTGTATGCCTGTTCTGGCTGCTGCTTGGCAATCACTGCCATGACGCAGATACTCAAGCTTGTGCCGACGACAGAAACAAGACCGAGCTCCAGCAAAACAGGCGATGATCCGATGGCCTCATGATCCAACGACACGACACGTACGGGGTGCAGGTACTTCGAGTCTAGGTACTCAAACCCGGTAGTCCAGGGGTTCTACGTAATGCCAAGCAATAGATCAACAAGAGTTGGCCTACTTCTCGGGCTTTACTTGGCATCGGCACTCTATAGAAACGAAGCATTCGGCGAGTTGGGCGGGGTCAAGGTTGAGATGCACGACTACCCTCTTTTCCCCGATATTACTAGAAACATTGATAGATCCTGTCGACTGCATCTTCACATGTACCTGTAGGTTGCGTCCCACGTTGTCGAGATTGATGAGACAGAACTCGGTACGCTTGTTGGAATGGATGCATCCAACGTCCGGTGGTGCACGAGAACGATTGACGACTCAGACTGTTCAATTGAAGGATCTCGAGTTGAGAGGGACTTTCCTGTCGATGGTCCATGGCGATTTTTCCCCGCACGGTGGCCGCAGCAGTCACCCGACGAACAACGACCCGCACAATAACGTACGTTGTAGCTCCATTCCCCCCTCTTTATGGGGTTGTGCCGATCTCTACCTTCAAGAGGATTGGGTGCTAGTCTTCTTGCGTATAGTTGACAGCATTGTCATGGCTACGGGGGCGGAGGTATCGGCAACAATCAGGGCTCCGGCGCCGACGTACTTGTGCTGCTTGCAGGCAGCCAGAGCTATATAAATGTCGTGAGGGCCTCGTCTGGGTTCGATATCTCCCCGGGCTCATCCGCCATCTACTCCCAATCTGCCTCGCCCGAGATGATTATTAGCGTCCGATCCAGAGGCCTCTTAGGCGTTGCGGCCTTCCTACCGGCCCTCGCGGTTGCTCAAAGTCAAGAGTCCACCGGCATCCAAGTTGATGGGAAATCCTTCGCCCTCAATGGGGACGGCGTCTCGTACCGCTTCCACGTCAGCGACGATGACGGCGATCTGATCTCCGATCACTTTGGCGGAGCAGCCACCGAGATGATCAGCTTCCCTCCCCTTGCCGAGGTCCACGGGTGGACTGAAATCACGGGCCGTGAGCGCCGCGAGTTCCCCGACTCCGGGCGCGGCGACTACCGCACTCCTGCGGTGCAGATCCGCCAAGGCGAAGGCACCCCCGTGAGCGCGCTACGGTACAAGTCTCACGACATCATCAAGGGAAAGCCCGAATTGGCGGGGCTCCCCTCAACTTGGGGCGGCGAGGACGATGCGACGACGCTGGTGGTGAACTTGGAGGACAAGCTCAGCGGCGTCCAGGCTGCTCTGTCGTACTCCATCTTCCCCAAGCACGACGCCGTAGCGCGCAGCGTCAACATCACCAACAGCGGCGACGGCAACGTGACCATCGAAAAGCTGGCCAGTCTGAGCGTCGACCTTCCATACGAGGAGCTCGACATGATCAACCTGCACGGCGAGTGGGCACGCGAGGCCCAGCGCAGGCGCAGACCTGTCGACTATGGCATTCAGGCGTTCGGGAGCAGCACCGGCTACTCGTCCCACCTGCACAACCCGTTCCTCGCAGTCGTCTCCGCCGACGCGACCGAGTCCCATGGCGAGGCTTGGGGTTTCTCCCTCATCTACACGGGCTCCTTCTCGGTCGAGGTGGAGAAGAGCTCGCACGGCTTCACCCGGGCCATGCTGGGCCTGAACCCATCCCAGCTGTCGTGGAAGCTGGCCCCCGGCGAAACCTTCACTTCGCCAGAGTGCGTAGTCGTCTACTCGGACCAGGGCGTGGGTGGCATGTCTCGCAAACTGCACCGGCTGATGAACCGCAACCTCATCCGACCTCGGTGGGCCAAGGCTACGCGCCCCATCCTTCTCAACAGCTGGGAGGGAATCGGCTTCGACTTCAACCAGACCAGGGTCGAGAGGCTGGCCAGGGAGACCGCGGACCTTGGCGTGAGCATGCTCGTTCTGGACGACGGCTGGTTCGGCGACGAGTACCCCCGTCTCGCCGACAATGCCGGACTGGGCGACTGGGTCCCGAACCCGGAGCGCTTCCCCGATGGTCTGACCCCCGTAGTCGACTACGTCAACAGCTTGGACGTGGCGGATCGCGATGGTCAGAAGCTCAAGTTCGGCCTCTGGGTAGAGCCCGAGATGGTGAATCGCAACTCGACCCTGTATCACGAGCACCCGGACTGGGCTCTCCACGCGGGTGACTATCCGCGTACCGAAGTACGCAACCAGCTGGTGCTCAACGTCGGCCTCGTCGAGGTGCAGGACTTCATCATCGAGACCGTCTCCGGGATCCTGCGCAACAGCACCGGCATCTCATACATCAAGTGGGACAACAACCGCGGCATGCACGAGATTCCCGACTCGGAGACGTACCACCGCTACATGCTTGGTCTGTACCGCGTGCTGGGCGAGCTCGTCGATCGCTTTCCCGACATCCTCTGGGAGGGCTGCGCCTCGGGCGGCGGCCGCTTCGATCCGGGCATGCTGCGCTACTTCCCGCAAACCTGGACCTCTGACAACACCGACGCCCTCGACCGCCTAGCCATCCAGTTCGGTACCTCCCTGGCCTACCCGCCCGCCGCCATGGCCGCCCACGTCAGCGCCGTGCCCAACGGAAACACCGCCCGCGTGATCCCCATGGAGTTCAGGGGCCACGTCGCCCTCATGGGTGCCAGCTTTGGCCTCGAGCTCGACCCGGCGGAGATGAGCGAGGAGGAGAGGTCCAAGGTTCCGGGGCTGATTGCCCTGGCTGAGCGCATCCGCCCCCTCGTTCTCGAGGGTGACGTGTACCGCCTGCGACTGCCTGAGCAGTCCAAGTGGCCCGGCGCCGTGTACGTGGCCGAGAACCAAGAGTCAGCAGTCCTCTACGCGTTCCAGACGCAGGGCGTCGTCAACATGGCTGGCCGAGCCGTCTTCAGTCTTCAGGGATTGGACCCCTCGACACGCTACCGCCTGGACGTGTTTGGCGGTGATGAGTACGGCAAGAATGCCACTTACTGGGGCAGGACGCTCATGAATGTTGGCCTGCAGTTTGCCTTTGAGGGGGACTACGACAGTAGGGTTGTCGTTCTGAACAAGGTATAATCTCGGGGAGGCGCGTATGAATGAAGACAATAGTAAGATGGTATAGTGTGAATTTGATAACAAAAGAAAGTGGGTATATTCAAAGTCCTTGACCGTCTTTAATCATCCATGTCTTGTAACATCAACTTCCGTCCACCAAGTACAACTAACTTATCAGAAGCCTCCTTGAGTAATATAATGATTATAACCTTTTTTTCCCTTTTAATTAATATCAGTCCGGTTCAGGGTTCCGGTTTTTTGTTTTCGTTTTCTTAGGGGGGGGGGGGGTTGTTTTTGTTTTGTTTTTGTTCTTGTTCTTGTTCTTGTTTGCATTTACTGCTTGATGTGCTCGTTGAGCAGCTGGACAGCGTCATCCCAGCCACGCGACTCGGCCATCTCGACGACGGTCTGGCCCATCTCCTCCCTGGCCTCGAGGTCTATGCCGCCGCCTTTCTCGAGGACGATCTTGAGCACGTCGAGATCGCCGAGCTCGACAGCCTGGAACATGGCGTTCCACCCACGGTACATCTTGTTGGGGTCGGCGCCGTGCGCGAGCAGCATCTCGAGGATGGCCGTGTCCTCGCCGTGATACCTGCGCAGGGCCTTGACGATGGGCAGGTGCTCTCCGGGGGCGTTGACGTCGGCGTTCCCGCCGTTGGGGTCTAGCAGGTACTCGACGATCTCGCGGTGGTCTTCGCGGATGGCGCTGGTGAGGGGCGAGAAGACGCCGCCGTTCTTATCCTCGACAGAGACGCCGGCAGCCAGCAGCATCTTGACCGACTCGAGCTGGTTGGCGACGACGGCGCGCTCCACGACGCCCTTGAAGGCGCGGGGCTCGGACAGGACGTGCAGGATGCGACGCAGGATGGAGGGGGTGTGCACCGCCATGAAGATGGGCCAGTCCTCGCCGCGCTTGTTGGGGTCGGCGCCGCGCGAGATGAGGAGGTCGATCATGTCGAGCCTCTTGTCGCGGATGGCCGTGGTCAGGGGCGAGCGGCCCTTGGGGCAGCGCTCGTTGGGGTCCATGCCCTGGTTCAGGAGCCACTCCAGCGCCTCCATGTTGTTGCAGGCCACGGCCGTCTCGACGATGCCCTTGGGGTTGTTGAGGTCGGCCCCTGCCTTGACTAGTTCGGGAAGGAAGCGCAGCCGGTTGTGGGTGATGCACTTGAAGGCGGGATACTCGCTGGCCGGCACGTTGGGGTCGGCGCCGTTGCTCAGCAGCAGGCGGAGGATGTCGGGGCGGTTATCGCGGATGGACGTGCAGAGGGGCGTGTACACGCCGTCTTTCTTGGCGTTGGGGTCGACGTTGGCCTTGAGCAGCACGCGGATTGACTCGATGTTGTTGACGCTGGTGGCCAGCTCCATGATGCCGGGGGCCTTGCGGGAGTCCGCGCCACGCTCCAGGAGGATCTTGAGGCAGGGGGCGCGGTACGTGGCCGGCCACAGCAAGTGCTTCGGTCCGGGGAGGTTGGGGTCCGCGCCGTTGTCGAGGAGGCAGGTGACTATGTCGGGGCGATTGCAGGTGATGGCCTCGAAGAGGGCCGTCTTGCCCTCGCTGGTCTTGGCGTTGGGGTCCGCGCCGTAGTGCAGCAGCATCTCGATCAGGTGAGGGGGGGTCTTCTTGTTGATGGCGATGGTGAGGAGCGTCTCGCCCTCGGCGCTGAGCTGGTCGACGTCGCCGCCGTACATGAGGAGAAGGTGCGTGATGGAGACATTGTTGCTCCCGGCAGCCAGGACGGTGGCCGATTCCTGCTCGTCGTGGCCGGCCTTCATGTTAGGATCGGCACCGTACTTGGCCAGCATGGCCGCGCCGGGGAGGAAGCCCTTCTCGACAGCGGCGAGCAGAGGTGTCATGCCGTCATGGTCGCGGTCGTTGGGGTCGGCGCCGAAGCGAAGAAGCAGACGAACGCACTGCGCGTGCTGTCCGCGGATGGCGTCGATGAGAGAGTTGATCTCGGGCCCCGTGTTGGGCGACACACCCCGGTCGAGGAGCTGCTCGACCAGCTTGTGGTTGCCGGCGCGGACGGCGGAGATGAGAGCGCCCTTGAGGCCGGCTCCGTCGCCGCTGCCGGGGCTGCTGCATCGGGGCGTCCACCGGGGGACCGAGGCGGGGCTGGCCTTGAGGTGGACGACGCCCTTGGCCGTGCTGCCGAGGTCGAGACCTGCCATCTCCTCCAGGATGGTCTCGTCCGAGTTGGATCCGCCGCCCGAGTGTTGCGACAGGGCCTCATCGAGGGCACTGGCGTAGGGGTGGCCCCCGGACTTACCAGTCTGGCTCTGGCGTTCGTCGACGGAGCTGGGGCTGGTGGCGGTCCAGCGGCGAGCTTCGCTCATGGTGTTGCTCTCGTCTGGGTGGGCGGCACCGTTGCTCCGGCTCATGAGGGAGGAGCCCTCGGCCATCCAGGGCAGGGGCGGGAGCGAGGGCTGCTCGTGTGAGGGAGTGTGAGGAGCCTCGTGGGTGAGCTGGCGGTTGGGCGGCGCAGGGTTGGGGAAGGACGGGGGCGGGACGTTGACGACGGATCGTGATCCGGAGGCGGAGCTGGTCTTCTTGGAGTCGAGCCTGTCCAGGGCGGCCTGGAGACCGGTCAGGCCGATGCCTGTGCCGCTCTGGACCTTGTCCTCGCCCAGGCTCCACTGGAACATGAGGGAGCTGACCTGGAGGCTATTCCTGTTGACCTCGAGGGAGTGCGACATCTTGTGGAAGTCCATGTCGCCGAAGAGCTTGCTGAGCCCCCTCTTCATCTTGCTCATGGTGCTGTGCTTGCGCTCGCCATCGAGGGCGCGGAGGAGCATCTGGTCGAGAACGTTGAAGTCGGCCTGGCAGAGGCGGAACTTCTTCTCCATCTCGGCCAGCAGCTCATGCGGGAAGAACTGCTTGGTGCGCGTGCACTCCTCCAGGCCGGCCTGGATCGACAGGAGGACGTGGCATGTCGAGAGGAACTCATGTGCGAGAATGTCGGTGCCGCCGTGCAGGTGCGAATGGGTGACGGACGTCAGGTACTCGAGGAGGTGGACGGCGATCTTGTCGCCAAACTCCGTCGTTCTCGTGCATAGGTCGAGGCATTGCCCCTGGTACTTGGCTGAAGAGGCCATGGTCGACCTGTACCTGTACGATGCGATCAAGAAAGCGGCTGGACGCTTGTGCGTTTCACTCACTCGCTGGAGTTCTTCAGCTTGGAAGACGCTGGTCTTGGAAGAAACTCGTCTGAGAAGCGTGTCCGAAAAGAGAACAAGCAAGGTCGCAAAGGGCGAGTTCAGATCTGAAAGAGGAGAACAGCTTGCCTGCTTTCTCTATATAAAAAAAAAATCGAGATTTTCTGCTCTCTGCTGGTGAGATTTGAAGGGGGGGGTGGGGGGGGGACGACAAGGACGGCGAGGATGGATCCAGGAGATACCTACTAGTTTCAAGTGGATTTCTGTCCTAACTACTATACAAGTACTGACATGATATAATAAACGGCGTCGAATATGGATAGGTCCTCATCATGTCCTAGGATACATCCATGCATATGCCATGCATGCATGGGTGTGAAGAAAAATCCCCCCCCCCTCACCCCTCAAGGCTAAGACCCGAGCGTTCTGCGAATTTCGTCATACTACTTATTACAATCGTAACATCATATCGTACTATCACTACTCGTACTCGGTAACCTCGAGAGTTGCGGAGTGCGAGTAACAGGTACGAGATCGTCGATAGATCGTATCGTCTGGACTCGCGGAGCATGCCAATAGTCTACGATAGCCTACAACGTTCTGATGAAGAATACTATTACGACGTATTACTCGTAACCTGATCGGGGCTGGGGTCCATCCTTGACGCCTCCCGGACCTTGCTGCCCCCAAACGTGCAACAGCCAAGAAGTGGACGGTACGGAGATAACGGCGTTGAAGAATTGCCAATAGCTTCACTCAGCTGGTGGCTAACTACCTGTTATAGGCTATAATATGTGCGTGTACATGCACGAGTCGCTTGAATTCCGCACATTCGGACAGTGGTGCGCGCGTGTGCGCACAGCTAATGCTCCGTATTACTATATGCAAGAGCCTGGGTAACCGCTCTTAGCGTTATGGACGTCGTATCTGCTCCATCTTCGCAAGCTCGGCGGAGAGATCCGGCGTCTAGGATTATCGACTGAGCTAGGCGATAACTCGCATGGTGTCAAAACAGACTATGGCCGCCAGGCATTGGCATGCAAGCAGCAAGAGTGCTGGCGCCGTTTCACCAGTACGAGTAGCAACCCCCCCCCCCTCCCCCCCAGTCGAGCCCGGACCAGGGACCGGGGAGAGGCGACCGGCCAAGAGTACGGATACTCCGTGCTCCGTACTTGTATGAGCATAGCTTGGCTGAGCCTGGTGCCAGGAATGCCAAGCAGGGGAGGATAAGAGATGAATCTCTTCAACGTGGTTGACCTTGCGAGCGCGGCTGTCCGCCGAGCCTGTAGCCTGAGATACTATGAGTAGAGTCTAGTCGTAACTGTCAGGACTATCCCACAAGAGATCCACCAAATACGGGGGCTGCATGACTAGTCGACATCCTCCCTCCAATACGGCTAGACTATTGAGATTTGGCCTTGTTCCGTTGGGCCATTGATGTTATCGAGTTACCCACTAGTCCGTTGGGATAGTACGGATTACAGATTACAGGTAGTCTTCCTTCTTTCTCCTCCTCCTCTTCTTGCCTTGCTCCTGTATGTACTAACTAATATCTCTGGCTCTCTTCTGGCACAGCTTACGAAGAAAGTGTCGGTGGAAGCCGTCGGGAGAGTCTTCTCCGCCATCGCTGCTCGCTCGCTTTCTCTACTCGTATCACAACAGCCGTCGACCTCGGTTAAGAGAAAGATAATAATAATGAAAATTAAAAAAGACGCCATCATCCTTCTAGGAAAAGGGGCCGAACGGACACTACGGAAGAAACTGCGGAGTACTCGTGGTTTGATAGAGATTACCACTACACTAATGCAGACCGATACAGACGCTTACAAGGTCCAGAACAATGGTGATGCAGACCCCCGAAATGCCGTCCTCAACTCGCACGTGGTTTACCGGCATAACTACAAGTATTACTCCGTTCTCCGCAGTAATATCTCACCTGTCCCCTACCTGTAGGCTGTACCTGTACTCGGCGTACGGAGAATACGAGGGTTCAATCTCTCGTTAATAACCCATCACTCCACGTAGAGGTGGGCCGACAACGATACCTGATGGGTCATGGCCCTACTCAGGAATTGTGTCAAGATAAGTCACGACATTGGACAGTGACCCGGAGCAGGTACCTATACGACACTCCTCCCTCCCATGCCGGCATCCTGCAAGTACCTATACCATGGATATATACCCATGGAGGACGCTACAGATACACAGATACAAGACACGCACGCCTGCTATTACCTCCTACTACTATAACGTGACAAACTGATATGCTTGCCTGTCCTCCTCCCCTGCTGGCCCTTGCCCGGTAGTCAGCGTCCTTGCTCTTGCAGAGACTGCTATATAGAGGGGGGAGAGGGGGTGAATACATAGTGCATGTATGATGATGCTAAGTAGCGGCGGTGTTTTTCCCCCGTGAGGTCCATGATTTGTCTACCTTTGAGCTTTGCGCACATCATCATATGACCCCGTTCACCGGGGTGCCGGTTGTTGAACGAGTATCTGTTTGTCTGTCGAAGAGGATGAACCCCATCAACCCCATCGTTTTTGCAGCGTCTCTTGCCGGAGGCTGAGCCGGGCTGAGTCTGAGTCTTGACCCCGAGATAACCCCAGCTTAAACTACCGGTTCATTTGATATCCGTACTCTTTTGGCGAACGCAATCTCAGCATATCTACTCCGTACAGATTGCGAGTACGAAGATTCGAGCTATCTACTCATGACGTGGTACTCGGTAGCGCAACGTATAATATCTATAGTTATTGCTTGAGCAAGTCTGCTGTGTCCCGTCACGAAGTGCAAACCCCGTACGATGACAACATTCAGCCATCTTACATGGTCTCCCCCTCCAGAGGCTGCCGTACAAACCCCCCCCCCCCCCCCAACGGAGGACAAGCAGGGGTTATCACGTGAGGATGTATTTTCTGTCCGGGGACGGACGGGTGTAACACACCCTGCAGTGTGACTTTCTTTTGGTGATGGATTAACCGTCTGACCATCTCCTTTGCTTTGCGAGCTTGTGTGCGGCATAATACGACCTACGGGGTTACTCGTGTACCGCGCACAATGCCTGGTCCGATTGCCACATTCCCGCCAAGGTTACGTAGGAAAAAGCAATTAGATTCTCCGATCATATGTCATTTTACCTCGGTTTTGTTTTATTTTATTCTTTGCTTTTTTTTAACTTTTTTTTTTTTTTTTGCTTTTTGTAGATCATCCGTTTTCTGTCAATGTTGAAAAGATCGAATGCTCAATATTGCTTTTGCTGCCTTATATATATACATCCGACTCCTTCCCCGCACGTCACAGCCATGATGACGTGAGATCACAGAGGACAAGCAATGGCTTGTTGTCTTGGGAATCAAAGAAATCGAACAAGATGGCCCTCAGACTGAATCGCTCGACTATCAGCTCAATAGCCTCGATATATTGATCGATACGAGCACAAGATTCCGAACCCCAGCAACCATGTCACCCCCCTCCTTCTCGGCCGCAAGGCCCCTCCTCCTTGTTGCCCCCCTTGTGTCTTCGACGGCAAGCCTCCTCTTCGCCTGGGACCAACACCTCTTCCTCTCGCTCCTGGCGCACCCGACAATCGCTGAGCCCGTCACCGCGGGCCCCGAACCCCACGCCGGCACCAACGCCCTCCTCCCTCCCTACTTCCGACGCTTCTTCCGCCGCGGCCTCGGTCGGGTCGTCACCTTCCTCGCCGTCACCACGTGGTCGTCCCTCGGCGCCGTACACCACTTCGGACCGCTTCTGCGGTCCAAAGGCAGCCTGGGATGGTACGTCGGCGCCGCAAGCCTGGCCGTCGGACATCTCCTGTTCGTGCCCGCTGTGGCTTACCCTATAAAGAGCATATCGGAGAATGAAGGTGGCGGCGTCGAGGTCCCTGTCGAGGATGCGGCGCAGAAGGATGCTGCTGGTGGGGGGGGGCTGTCCAATATCGACCATCTCAACCGATGGCTTCGTGTCAACCTCGTCAGGACACTCACCACAGACACTGGTGCTTGGATCTGCGCCGTCACCGCCGTGACCAAGACGTTCACCGCTTGAGTAATGCCAACAGCTTAAGCTGCATATCGGGCATCATCACGTGTATAACGTGGCATGAATGTACCACTCGATGAAAACCTGAGCGAGACGTTATTATAGAGAAAATATGACACTTCGCTTACAGCTGACTGCATGTATCATTGTCAAAGATGGAAATCAGTTAAAAACTAAACGTATGCCATTTCCGTTTACGGAAAATAAATAACAAGTCCCAAAACAAAAGCTGACCGACATCCTCCGCGAATATCGTATCAAGTCATTCTAGTCCACCGCTCTAGCCTCGTCCCCTCTCACGCTTTCATGGCGTCTCCCAGATAATCAGCTGTCGCTGAACCTGTCTAGAACCACTCGCCGCCCAACCAGCGGTTAACAAAGTCGATCGACGACTTGGGCTGGTCCATGGGCACCATGTGGCCGGCCTGGAAGATGCGCATGAAGGTCAGGTTACCGCTCGACTTGACCTGGCCGTACGACTTGGCCTTGGACTCGCTCTCCGTCGAGATGACGAGGTCCTCGGACTTGGCCTTGGAGTAGGCCTGGTGACCCGACCACTCGAGCTCGTTGGTCCAGGCCTCGTTTCCGAGCCAGTTGCAGATGTAGTCGACGTCGCCGGCGTAGATGAGGACAGGGATCTCCTCAAGGATCTTGGGGACAAGCTCGTGGTAGGGCTTCATCCAGTCACCGGCAAAGACAAAGTTGCGGTTAATGTCAAAGTTGCAGCTGTCGTAGCTGTCAACCTCGGCGCCGACAGCCTTGCGGACAGACTCCTTGTTCAGGAAGTCAGAGGTCCAGCCGACGCCGGGGTAGCAGAGGTTCGACTCATCCTCGCAGGGGCCACGGATGTCGTAGACGTTGCGGCCAGTGCGCTGATACGGGCCGATCATGGCGTTGTTGCAGTAGATGGTGGCGGGAACGCAAGACCAGGCGCTACCGGAGCTGTAACAGCTGTTGATGAGGGACTGGCAGCGGGGGAGGGCGTTGTCCATGCTCTGGCACTCGCTCTCACTCAGCACAGCCTCGTGGCCACCCTCACCGCAAGCCATGGGGCGGTAGTAGGCGTACTGGGTGTAGGGGTCGGTGATGCCGTTACCAATCAAGATGCTCTTGAGGTTGATGTTGCGCTCCTTGTGCGAGAGAATCTCCGAGGTAAAGACGGGGATGTAGTGACCAGCGTACGATTCGCCAGCGATGTGGAAGTCCTGCTTAGCGTACTCGGGGAACTGGTGGAAGAAGAGAGTGAGGAGGGCGTAGACGTCCTTTCCGGCAGCAACAGTGTCGCTGACGCTGCTACCGCTGTAGGAATAGCCGACATTGACGGGCTGATCGAGGAAGATGACGGAAGCGTTGTTGTTCCAGGCACTGGGGTTCCTGTCGAGGCCAATCTTCTTGTTGACGAAAGAGGGACCGAGCTCAAGGAAGAGACCGGTGAGGGAAGAGCAGCCAGGGCCACCGTTTAGCCAGAGCACGACGGGGTCGTTCTTGGGGTCGTTGCGGGACTCGAAGAACCCTGAGTGGAGTCAGTAAAGAAGAGAAGGAGAGATGATTAAAGAGTTTGATCACCGAGGCGGGGTGCGTCTTACAGTAGAAGAGATGCTTGTCCTCCTCCTCATCATCGAGGTAACCACTGTACTGCTTAACGTCGTCGACGCCAAGAACCGAGGGGTCGACAGACTTAGCACGGAGGTTGTAGTTCTCGAGCTTTCCACCAACCATGCGCTGAGAGCCCTCGATGCCGTTGGTGCCCATCTTCTTGACCTCCGCACCCTTGACGACATGTTCCCATTCGCTGTCAGGGCGGCGGCTGGCTGGCTTAGGCGTGGTGCCCATGGCTTGCTTCTTGAGGATCTCGACGGCATCAGCGACGGCATCAGGCATCAGAGTGGAAATGTCCTCCCAAGCACCGGCGGCATCGGCACTGGCCTTGCCGAGCAGGCGCTCAAGGGACTCAGCCCAACCCTCGGCAGCAGGAAGGGAATCAAGGATGGGGTTTCCAGAGCCGCCGAGCACTTTCTGGTCCTGGAGTCCCAGGGCGGCGGATGCAGCACCAAGAGTGAGAATGGACGATGACAGCCGCATGGTGGCGATGCCTTCGATGGATGAAGGGATGAATTTTGAGGAAATGGATGGAAATGCCGGTCTGGAAAGCGGCTGTTGTGTGATGATGATGGAAGAGTCAAGGTTAGAACTCAGCAGCCAGCTCCCATGATAAGCAGGCAGCTTGTCTCAGGCACACCTTCAGGCCCTCGTCGCTCAGCGGGCGCTTTCAGCGGCTTCAGAAGGACGTCATGCATGCTGCAGAGCCAGGTTGCCTAGACACCCGCGGAGACCGCACTCGACCCACCATTCCATGAGATTTCATTGGTCCCCGCACGTACTCCCCGTCGTGCTCTCTGTATCATCCACTGTAATCAGTATCTTATCGTATGAGCCTCGGGCACCTTTGTGGCACCTTTGTGGCCTGGTATGCGTCACAGATGGCCTAGAAGTCTCAAGACCCTGTTGGTATGTACTCCCGAAGACTGTTGGTGCATGCCGCATGCAGGTTCCAACTCGGATTTACGAGTCATGTGTCGTACTCTCTACTAATACCCTCTGTCACTCATTATTATGTCGTACTCGTAACTGCTGTCGACAGGTACCAGGCACATTTGGACGCGTGTGCATCCTTCAGCGGTGAAGGATGCCGACCGCCACAGAGCACATTCTTCCCGTAAAAGCCCAATGCGTGTTGCACAAAGGCCAACATCGGCCTTTGTGCGGATCTAAATGGTTAGGTAAAGCCAACGTACAGTTAGAGGTCTACACCTTATAATGCTTAGAGTGTGCTCCTGGTTTCCAACTAAGCCTACTACGTTGGTTGTCCACAGCCAAACATCTTCCGTAGTATAGTGGTCAGTATGCGAGCTTGTCACGCTCGAGACCCGGGTTCAATTCCCGGCGGGAGAGACCCGTCAACCGATTCAATCGGTTCTTTTTTGTTTTGTTTTTGTTTTTTGCTGAATCCTTTCTTCCTCTTTCAACCTCCTTTAGCCTTGTCTTTGATTATTATTTTTTTTTTTTTTTACCCTTATGAAAGCTTCCTGCCATTGTCCACCATGCATTTATTATACATCAAGCCGTCTCGTGCACGCGGATTGAGCATGAAACGTGCGCCCACCCACTCCCTACTCTGTCCCTCCCCCCCTTTTTCCTTTCCTTTCCCCAGCACCCCTAGCAGCTAAGCTAGGAACTTGAAAGCCTCTCTCTCTCTATGAGAAAATGGGAGTCTACTAGTGGGCTCGACACCCACAACGCGAGTATAGCGACCGCACAGCGGGGCCGTCCTGGCCCCGAGGTCTCACCGGAGGAGGGTTTTTCGTCCAGGACAACGTCGACAGCGTCAGGGCGCCTCCACGTCTTACCATATTCCTTGACCAAGCGCCGCTATGCTGTCAAGATTAGTTGATTCGATTTCGAACTTCCCCTGCGATGGTGCCATATTGTATGAGTCAATGTTTTTCAACTTTTTCACTACCAGAGTACCACCCGAGGTATTGAGAAGAGAGAGGAAAAGGCAAAGTGGTGAACGTGCCCATGTCTTCCTTGCAGAACCGGTCAGGAACAAGGTCTTGCTCTGATCCTGCTCTACCGGACAATCACTCAGGAAGATGAAGCTGAACAGCTCACGTTTCTCGCATATGTGCTGGCTGATAACGCCCAGAAAAGCCTCGTGAAAGGACGTGGGGTATGTTAGGTTGACGTCCTCGTTGGCGTCTCATGTTCCAACCATCCTGACGAGAGACATGAGTATGTTGATGAGCAAATGAGAGGGTACATGCCAACACAAACTAGAGCATATATATATATATATATATATATATATATATTAATATATTCTCCAGAAAAATAGAAGTCTATGCAAGACTAACGCATCCCCGCCCGCGATGCGACAGGATATTCTTAGATAGAATACTTCATCCATCGCTCCAGCTCGGGCGTCCAATTTCGCACGGGATCGTTAAGCGCGAGGCCTAGTCCATGCTGGCCACTAGGCAGTATCAGGGTCTGGAACAGCCTCCCCTTGGCAGCCATGGCGTTGGAAAAGAGCAGGGTATTCTCCACGTCTACGGTGGCGTCATCTGATGTGTGGAACAGGAATATCGGCGGGGTAGAGCCAGTGACGGTGTTCTCAGCCGACGTGGCGGCCTGCAGGTCGGGTGAAGGGTCCGTGCCGATGAGGTTGTCCCGCGAGCCCATGTGCGCGTGCGCCGGGTCCATCGTGATGACGGGGTAAGCCAGGATACCAAAGTCCAGAGCGGCGTCCGGATTGGTGACGGTCATGGCGGCCAGGTGCCCGCCGGCAGAGTAGCCCCAGATGCCCAGCTTGGAGAGTGCAGCGCCGCGGTCCTGGTCACGGATGGCAGCCACAGCCTCGAGGGCCTGGTCCATGGGCGCAGGGTACAGGGGTGTCGAGGCCGTGGTGGCGACGGAGTAGTCCAGGACCCAGGCGTCGTAGCCGCGCTCGTTGAGATAGGCCGTAGTGTTGGCGCCCTCGAAGTCGAGGGAGACGGTCTCGTAGCCGCCGCCGGGGATGACGAGGATGCCTATGCCGTTTGGTCGGGAGGCTGGACGGAAGGTGAGCTGGTCTGGGCTTAGGCTTTGCAGATGTCTTTTTGTCAGCCAGGTGCGCGCGCGTGTTCATACGTATGTGTACATGTTACCTACTCCACCCTTTTCTGGCGAGAGAGACCAGATGCCGCCATGGCAAAGTAAACGGCTGTTGCTATGATGAGTCTCATGATGGGAGGGGGAGGGGGGATTGGTAGGAGGGGCAACAGATGAAGCTCACGATTGTTATGCAAGATTTCAAAAAAAGGGTGGGCACGACGATCACCCCCTTCTTATAAGGCTGGCAGATATGGTCTCTACTCTCGTGTCTGAGACATCACAGGTAGGTTCATTAGCTGAGCTGGACGTGACAAGACCCATGTGCATAGACTAATACAAAGCACGATACCGAGTCTCCCTAATAGCGGTGGGGTGCAGAATCATTCTCAACGTCTGGTCTCGCCCCCCCCCCCCCCTCCCCCCCGCAAAGCAGATTCAAGATCCGTTACGCGGGGTAGATGAAAGAAATAGCAATAAAAAGTCAAAGACCGGAATGAACGGGACGGACATACCCTCGTGTTATTGACAATGCTTGCGCTAAATCGAGCCGAAGACGACAATGCCAAGAATGACAGAGTTGGTCATGGGATGGAGTGCAGGATAACTCGGGCACGGAACGGCTGCGGGGTTAGTGCCGGGGCGAAATGGTTGGTCGAGTCCACATACATTGTAACGTAGAGCTGTTTGATATCGAAGCTGGGTGGTCGGCGTTTCCTCTGATTGTACAGCTAGCTGTTACTGGATGCTTCCTGTTCAGCTGGCCACGGTGTGGTCAGAGCAAATCCTATCCTGTTCAGCTCCATGAGGCCATGTGTTGGATTGCTGCCCGTGTTCCTAAGAACAAGGTGGCTTGCGCCTTCGACAACACACGTGGACAGTCTTTTTTTAAAGGAAAAACACCACTCTGCCATGATGTATTCTCTCTCTCTCTCTCTCTTTTCGTTTTTCCTTATAAAGTTCCTTTATCTTTAACTTTTGAAACGGTTAGCCGAAGCGGCTGGACCGAGGTCGAAGAAGACACTGGCTGCATATGATTACAGGTCTGGCCGGAAGGAATCAATGACATGACGGCTCCAGACACGAAGATTTACCAGGCAGCCTTCAGATTGACTGGCCAACAAGATGTTACTGTTCATGCCTCTCATAGCTGAACATTTTACTCCCCTCCCCCCGAGGTTGGCGGGGCCGAGGCCGGGACCCGCTCCGTGTCACAGGCGGAGGCTTGGCATTTTGCCGACCCGGGCGTTCGGGAAAGGGCATGGTTCCATGGTCCGCTTCTGGACATTGGATGGATGGTTTTATGTGACTTTCGCTTACTTAGCAGAGAGCTGCTCTTGATGATGCGTTATTTGTTTTTATTCGCGTGCAGTTATCTATTCGGACACCTTTGATCTTTATAAGAGGGTCATGGAAAGAGACGAACAAACTATGTGGAAGCAAAACTAACATACATCTTGTTAAATCATCTCGAAGAGCTATCAGAAAACTTGATAATATAGATATATTCAAACGAACCCCTCATCTCCATGCTGATTCTACTTATGCATATGAGTTTGCTACCCGGCTATTTGGCAATTCCACGGCCACGATAGCTGCAGGGTAAGAGCACCAACTACTAATAATAGCACACGGCAGAGCCCCACGGGAAGTGACGCAATGCAGAAATCTACTGGCCTGGTAACGGAGAATGCTTACAGCAGAGCGGCATCACCAACTGGTAGTCGTACGAGTATTTGCGCGAAAAAAAAAAGAAAGGATGGGGTTGATTATGAGAATTTAAGGCTCATGATAAGAATTAAGCAACTGTTTAAAATTCAGGACCCATACCCCCATTTCCAAAGACCGAACGATGACGAGGCTTGCTAGAGGCCGCGTAGTACTTGCCCCTCTACTGGGTCCCTGCCAAGCTGTAGAGACTTAAGCGCCGATAGTTCTAGATCTTGTGTGCCCGGGAAGGGCGAGAAATGAGTTGGTTGAAGTGGAAAAAAAAAGGGTGAAAAAAAAAGAGAAGCAGAGGAAAGAGAAAGAGAGTCGATGACGCGGCCACACTTTCGCTTTGCTAGAACGGGAGGCCGCCCCCCCCTCTGGACAAGCGGCGGCAGAGCAACGTTAGCAGTACGAGAACGGAGTAGTAGGTGGTATTATTAGGTGATGGGAGATCGGAAGATCCATTCCGTCTGGGAATAAGCCAGTGAGCACATCATGAATGGTCCACCGGGTTCCGACCCTCCAAGTGCAATCATTACTGCGTACGTTGACCTTGCAGGGCCCTGCGCCTCGTTCTCCTGCTCCGTATGGTAACGGAACAGTTGTAGCAAGTAGTACGACCCGTATCTTTCGTTTGTCTCTTGCTGATCGCACCGGCAATAGTTACCGATAAGGCACTAATAACGAGTAGAGAAGGAGGGGAGGAGGAACAGGAGAGAGCTGTCGATATTAATCCCTTTTTCCCGTCTCCCCCTTCCCCCGTCTCGTTTCTCTCTCATCGATACACTTCTTTCTTTGTCCGAGACAAGAAGAGTTGCCCTTCAGTCCAGCGTCGCACCTTCCGCTTCTCTCGTTTTGGCTCTTTCCCGCTTTACATGTAAACCCCACGCCGTTGCCGGCCGTGCCTTCCCTCGTTACAAACCTGCGACTGCTCTCTAACCGCCCACATTCACTCACCACGAGTAGCAGTACTACTACTATCACTGCATCCCTCTGGTCTCTCTCTCTTTCCATCTTCTCGCCATCTTCTCTCGTCAGTTATTGCACCAGTCGCATCAAGAACACACACACACGCACACGCACGCGCACACGCACAACATGGCCTTCTATGAACCAAAACCCGGAGGTAACCCCTCCTCATTCACTCCCATCCATGACTCTCCAGATCCCGTTCGCCACGGAGCCGCTGGCGTCTCCAGGGTACAGACTACCAAGCCTTGGTGGAACGCCCGCTACTGGCCCAAAAAGGTCTGGGCTGGTGTTGCTGCCATCGTTGTTATCGTCATCGTAATTGCCGTTGCCGTCGGTGTTACACAGTCCAAAAAGGATGCCTATCCAAACTACACAGAGCTCAGCTACTCATTGAAGGATACCTGTACGTCATTCTACTTCCCATCCTCATCGCCTTTTCAGGCCAACCCCTCTTCTAATCCATAAGTTGCTGATCATTGCAGTTGAGGGCGAGAATTTCTTTGACAACTTCGACTACTTTACCGGATACGACCCCAGTAAGATAGACCACTTCCTCCCACTAAGCTCAATACCCTCCCCAACTGACGCATGCCATCAGCCAGCGGCTTTGTCCACTACGTCCCGGAGTCCCAGGCCACATCCCTTGTAAGTGAAGCCGTTCCCAAGAACCGACGCCCTCTTCAGGGAGCTGACAAATGTAGAACCTCACATATGCTTCGTCCACCTCTGCTGTTCTGCGTGTCGATACATCGGTGGGCCCCACCGACAACCCCGACGCTTCGACCGGACGCTTTTCGGTTCGCATCACATCGCGCAACACGTACGATGACGGTCTCTTCATCTTCGACGTCAAGCACACACCCTATGGCTGCGGCACATGGCCCGCCCTCTGGCTGACGGACCCCAGCAACTGGCCTGACAATGGCGAGATTGACGTGGTCGAGTCCATCAACCAGGGTACTGACGGCAACCAGATGACTCTGCACACGTCGTCTGACTGCAGCATGGACGTCCGCCGCAAGCAGTCGGGCTCTGTCAAGTACAAGAACTGCGACCAGGCCAAGAATGACAACGCCGGCTGCGGTGTCGTTGACGATGACGACTCGTACGGCCCGGCTCTTAACAAGGCTGGCGGTGCTGTTATGGCTCTCGAATGGCGCGATGCTGGCATCCGCATGTGGCAGTTTGCTCGCGGCTCCATTCCCTCTGACATCACATCCAAGAACCCTAAGCCCGATACTTGGGGCACCGCCACTGCCGACTTTCCTAGCACTGACTGCAACATTGGCAACCACTTCAGGAACAACTCGATTGTTGCCAACATTGACCTCTGCGGTGATCTCGTCTATAGCTCCTGGGACAGCTCTGGATGTAAGTTTCTTCTCCTCCTTTTTCTTCTCCCACGCTCTCTTTCTTCCTTCCTATTCACCCCGCCGAATCGGCAGAAGATGCTGACTGTAATCTCCTCTCTTTAGGCTCCAGCAACTGCAGCGACTGGGTCGCCAACAACCCTGACGCCTTTACTGATGCCTACTGGGAGTTTGGAACTTTCCAGGTCTACAAGGCTTCCTAACCCCCCCACTCTCTTCACACTTCTTCTTGTACTGTCCGTTCCTTTAAGTTGTCTTATAAGGCGTTATGTGACCGGGAACGATATAAACAAAATGTGGCAGGGACAAGTTATTCATGTCTATACCATGTTGCACACGATTTTTAGGTCTTGGGTGTCCTAGTTTGGATGTTTTGGGCACAGAATGTTGTCCCGTTGATCTATAGGGTAGATTTTTACTATTATACAAGATTCATGATACTCTATCAGTCCTGTCCCCCCCTTTCTTCCCTGCTGAATTGGTACAAAAATATAATATACAAGGCCAGTCGAACAGCAAAGCGGAGATTCTCCTCGTTTCCCTGAAGTAACGCCAATACCATGCCCAAGAATGCATGCGTGTATATATGCCAGACGCCAAATATTGTCAAACATAAAATATCCCTCCGTCTCTCTTCTCCACTTCCCTCCCCCCCTTTTCCCTTTCGTTTTCATTTCTTTCGCTGTTTGGTGGCAGGCAACCGCAGGCGGTGTGTGGGAGAGCGCGATCACTCATCAGGCGGCTGCCTCATGTACGCATCGATGGCAGCACTGAAGGCGGCAAAAGCGACACAGCCGCCGGCGGCAGCCTGGGGCCCGGCATTCCTGGCGAGGATACCGCCGGTCAGGCAACCGGCGGCGACGCCGTTTCCGATGTCATTCTTAGCGCGCATGCCTTCTATGCCGCACTCGATACCGGAGAACAGGGCTCCGACCTTTCCGAAATTGCGGGCGGTCGAGTATGACCGCTGGCCCATGTCCTTGAAGCCGACCTTGAGCTGCTGACGGAGGGGGAGGCTGGAGACGGGGGTCTGATTTGCGCCGGGGACGGGGGAGCCAAAGGGTGTATCGTAGCTCATCTGCGGTGTGTTAGGGTGAGAGGTTGACGGACGGGATAGAGGGAGAGGAGGAAGGAGAAGGAAGGACAGGAAAGAACGTACGGATGCCATGAATAGCCCAAAGAGACCGCCCATGCCGAATCCCATGACGCCCGACATGACGGCTTTGCCCATGCAGGATTCCATGGCTGCTTGGATCTAGTGAATGTATCGAAGGGATGTTAGCGAATGGTATCACATGATATATCGGAATCGGAGAGCGGGGAGCGGGAGAAGGGCAAAGAAACAAAAAACAAAAGGGAACGTACAGCTTTGACATTCGGATCCTGGGGACTGCCTGGCGTGGGAGCGGGAGGGGAGCCGCCCAGGGCCCCGCCGAGTGGGTTGGGGAAGTTCATGGTGTCTTTTTCCGTGTTGCGCGCGCGCGCGTGTGTGTATGTGTACGTGTGTATTCCTGGGACGGAGGTTCGGTCTGTCGGATCGGTTGTTGTATAAGAGAGTGAGGGGATCCGATCGTAATGGGAAGGATCGGTGATTTCAGTCCTGTAGACGCGCGCGCTCTGTATTGATTATCGCGGAAGGGGACAGAGCATTGAGTTTAGAGAGAGAGAGAGAGTGAGAGAGAGCGTTGAGTGAGTTGAGAGAGAAATATTTCTGCCGGGATTGACCGCTTTGGATCCTGCAGTAGTGTCTTGATAAGATTGATGACCCACTCTTTTGACCGATAGCGGTGCTTGGCGGGTGAAGTATGAGTGAAACGTACGAGAGAGATGTGGTCCAACACCGTTGTAATACTATATTATATATCATGAGAAAAAGAAAGAGAGATTTTTATAAATTTCCCAGGAAAAAGAAACGATGCGAATTTATGGGAAAGAAGGGCTATTAAACAACGAAGAGGAAGAAAGAAAATACGAACCATGCTGAACCGAACCATCTGACCATATATGTACCATACTAAACCGAACCCGCGTACTCATCCCATTATCGCCATATTAAAGAGCCTCGAAGAATACATGTAGAATCAAATGGGAAATGCAAAAAAAAAAAAAAAGAAGAAAAGAAAAGTCGAGAAAGACAAGAGAAGAGAGAAAGTTAGTCAGAGAATAGAGCCCAAAGACAAGAGGCAAAAGAAAAGTCAAGGACGGGAAAGGTCGAGAATCAGAGAGAAGAAGAGGGTGTAGATACAAGACGAATGTGAGAAGAGAAAAGAAACAGGCCGTGCAGTCCCGAATCTAAAGAACCCAGACGATCAACAAAGTGATCTCCCACCAGCTGCGGCGTGGACACTCCTCTTCGCAGCAGTCTGCGGAGAAGGCGTGGTGTGCACCGATGGTCGACGGCTAGGCTGTCCCACAGAGCTGGCGGGCGTACTGGTAACGTCACACCGCGCGACATCGGACCAGACATTCCCGGCGCCGTCGTTCCTCTCAGGTGACCCCGACGGCGAAGAGGTGAAGCCCCTGTTGGGGATGAGGAGGAGAGGCATATGCATGTGGCCCTCGTAGCCTGCCGGCTCCGTCTGGCGGGTGGCGATGGTGGTCGAGGGAGGAGGGTGGAGATGGTGCCGCACGGGTAGGTTGGATACGTAAGGAGAGACGTGGACGGAGTAGTTGCGAGCCAGGGGGAGGGAGTAGCCGTCGTAGCCGTGAGGCATCATGCCACTGCCTGCCTGCCCCCCCGTGTGATTGAGAGCAGTATCGCTGTTATCTTGTCGTAGCTGACGAGAGGCCGAGGTAGAGGGTATGGATGTGGGTGCCGAGGTGGGAGATGAATTCATCTGCATCTTGTTGGACGTGGCGGTTGACCGGACCGCCGTCGTCTTTTGTCTGGTGCGTCGTGGACGCGAGGGTTGTACCTCGTGAGACGGGATGATGGGGTCGTCACCTTTTTTTGTGTGTGTGTGTGTGTGTTAAGTCAGTTGAACCAGATACACAGGGACTTTGGAGAGGGGGGGGGGGTAGAGAAGAGAAAGGGCAGCACCGAGACATACCACGCTGCTCCATGTATGCCTTTACGTAGGCCCTTGCCCGCGGTGACGGACGGACACTCCGACAGTTTTGATACCAATGCTCATCTAGAAACAGAATCGGTCAGTAACAGTGCAAAAAAGGATGATGAGGGCGGAGAGGAAGAAGAACGTACAGAGCAATTGCTTGTTGTAGCTCCGGTATCCCAGATGCCCAAGCTTGCATCTCATCATCTCAGCACACTCGTTCCATGTCTTCTGACGTTTAGCCGGATCACTGCCTTCAGGAGAGATGGGGAGAACAGTTTTCCAAAAGAAGGACTCTTCCTCTTCTCTCCACGTCTTTCCACCCATACTGTTCAGCCCCCAAAGTACCTGTCCCTCGGTTAGGAACCTTTCTCTTCTCTTCTCTTGTATGCGTCGAGGGACGAGGGAATAGAGGATGTAGTAGGAGAGAAGAGAGAAAGATCCCGTTGAAGAAAAGGAATAGAGGGGAAGCGGAGGGGGGGGGGAGAGGGGGACGGGAGAAGAGGGGACGGGAGAAGAGGGGACGGGCAGTGAGTATGAGTGGTCTTGTACGACGATGAAACGAGGGTGCACGAGAAAATATAGAAAGGATTGGCTATTGTCGTCTCTTTCTCCCTTCTCTATTGTTGGCTGCCAGTAGATGGGAGAGATTGATTTCTTCTGGGAGTATATTCTTCTCTGAAAGGAGGCGGTCATGGGGCTGTTTTAATACCATGGATGAGCCAGACCTGATTCAGTCATTCAGTGCCTGTCCTCTTTTCTTTCTTCCTTCAATGCAGTCAATCGATACGAAGGCATCTGCTCTCCAGTACTTGGATTAGACGACGAGGCAACAAAAGGTATCAATACATGGTGGAAAGCGACTGGCCCCAGCTAAGCGATTCGCAGCGGACAATGTCTGCGTGTGAGTGAAACCAATTCGCAGCGATTCACTGCGCGTGCACCCTCCATTGTGATGCAGACCAGGCGTTTCTGCAACAAGGATGTATGACAGCGCGCGTGTGCATGTGCCTGTGCCTGTGCCCCCCCTGGTCAGGCACCACACAGGTAGTCCCCTTTTCGCCAAAGGTAGCGTGTGATAGGGTCTTGTGTGCTTTCTCCTTCATTCTTCAAACGGACTGCGAGGTTCGGGAGCTTGATACCCCCTTGCCAGCAGGTACGGGAATAGACGTCTTTCCAATCTTGAAAACTAACACACCAAGATTCCGTGTCAGCAGCAGGCCATCTCGAGGATAGTGGAAATGGAGAGGGGGAGAGAGGACGAATCTTACGACACTCTTCTTTTCAGGAGGGGCCACCGCATCCCTGACCCAGAACCCCCATCCTCCCATCATGTTGGCGAGCATCATATCCGTCATCAGTCTATCGCCCACCACGGCAATCTGCGAAGGGTGCGTGACGCCCGTCTCGGGATGCTTCCTGAAGTAGTCCATGATCTCGTCTCCGCACCCCGGTTTCTTGACAGAGTGAGGGAGCACGACGAGACCAGTGCCCGCCTCTAGCTTCTCTGCCTGCTTCAGTTTTGGGTCCCACGATTTAGCACCGGCTGTGTTGGAGACGATAAGTAGCTTGCGACCGGGATAGGCCTTTTTTAGCTCTTCAAAGCGGTCCTATCAATTTCTCAGTTAGTAGGCTGTGTTCTCTCTATTCACACACACACACACACACACACATACACGAGGATAGCTGTGAAGAGGGAGAAAGAGAGAGAGAGAGAGTGTGTGTGTGTGTCTGTATGCGATGGCAGTAAGAAAGGGGGGGAAAAAAAAGAGAAAAACCTTGTATTCTGGATACACCTCATTCGTATCAGGATAGGCAAAGCAGTCATCCTTGTCCAGCACCACAGCTCTCACCTGGGCAGATCCATGGCCATTGCTGTGAAGAGCCTTGTCCAGCGGGATCGGAAGGTCGGCAAAGTTGGAGATGGTGTGGTGAGGCAAACAGAGTCCGGGCTTGAAGAGGATCCTCACCACGTTTAATGAAGCCGACAGATTGAGGTTGAACATCGTCCGAACTGTGGGATGAAGGACAAGGAGGAGAGTTTTTTGAAGTTGGAAAGTGCAGGTGGCTTTGCCTGACAGTCCAGTACTACATGGAGTATGACGAAGACCAATATAAATCAGCGCCACATCTCTTTTTACGCCACACCCCAGATGGTCAACGCGTCTCGATTAATCCCAACTACGCGTCTTCCGTCATCGACAGAAGCTCATAGCCTTGAACCTAAGCCATATACAAAGTTGACATCCTCCTGAACCCATGTCGATAATATCAGGTCAAGATGCCCCCCGCAAAAGGTCCATCGACGAGATAGACGCTGCCGACGGCGGAGAAGCGCCATCGTCCGACAGCGACGTTGTCACGAGGAATGGAGACGACGGCGCCGCACCCCAGGAGCAAGAACACCAAGCACCACCATCCGAACCTCCCAAATCCACCCCTCGTAAGCGCGGACGGCCGCCCAAGAACCCCGCCGCCAGCGGGGGCGACACGCCTACTCCCCGAGCGCGCCGTCAAGCATCCTCCGCACGGACACCCACCAGGGGGGCAGCCTCGACAGCCGACAGCCCGGCAGCTACGCCAACGGGACGGCCGTCCCTCATCATCGGAGCAGACCGCTCAGCCAGGCGCAAGAGCGCCCGCGCCCTGATAGAGCAGGTGGTCGGGGACGGCGACAGCGACGCTTCGGATGACGACGACGTGGGTGAGGACGGGCTGGCACGCGAGATCTACGACTCGAGCGACGAAGACGCGGCAGCAGTGTCCACCGACCACGGCGCCGCCGCAGCAGGCACGCCGCCCGAGGCCACGGCGCCCTCAGCGGAGGCGGCAGAGTCGGGAGCAGAGGCAGAGGTGACCCGCCGGCGACGGCGCCAGCAGGTCCGTCGCCGGTCCCCCTCACCTCCGCCGCGCGACCTCCCCCCCCACGAGCAGTACTTTGTGCAGAACAGGCCGGGCCGGCCCAAGACGTCGGACAGGACGCTCAAGAGCGTCGCCCCGCTCTCGCACGACGAGTACTTCTCCGTCCTGCGCGACTACCCGGACCGTCACGCCGGCGACGTGGCCTACCTTGAGGCCCTGCACGCCGAGTCCTTCCCCCAGTGGGCGTTTGAGCTGTCGCAGGGCTTCAGCATCTGCCTGTACGGCATGGGATCAAAGAGGGCCCTCCTTCGCAGGTTCGCGCGCCACCTCGCGCGCCGCCATCATCCCCATCCGGGTGGACAGCCGTCGTCGTCGTCGTCATCGTCGCCCATAGTCATGGTGAACGGGTACGCCCCCACGACTACCGTGCGCGACATCCTCAGCACCGCAGGTGCGGCGCTGGACCTACGCATCCCGTCCACCACGCCATCCTCCATGGCCCAGGCGTTGCTCACACATCTCTCCTCGACGTCGGGTCTGCTGACCCTGATGGTGAACTCCATCGACGCCGCCCCCCTCCGCCGCCCGACCCACCAGTCCATCCTCGCCCGCCTGGCGTCCCACCCGCGCGTCCGGCTCGTCTGCTCGGCCGATACGCCCGACTTCCCCCTCTTGTGGGATGTGGGGCTCCGCTCTGCATTCTGCTTCGCCTTCCACGACGCTACCACCCTGTCCCCCTACACTGTCGAATTGGACGTCGTCGACGACGTGCATGATTTGTTAGGCCGCAACGCCAGGCGCGTCAACGGCCGCGAGGGCGTCGCCTTTGTGCTGCGTAGCCTCCCCGACAATGCCAAGAACCTGTTTCAGCTGCTCGTCGGGGAGGTGCTCATCGCCATGGAGGAGGATGAGTCCTCGCCCCCCGAGGATGTAGGCGTCGAGTACAGGATGGTGTATAATAAGGCTGTCGAGGAATTCATCTGTAGTTCCGAGATGGCTTTTCGGACACTGCTCAAGGAGTGAGTCTTTTTTTCTCTTTCACTTATCTCCCTTCTCTCCCTCCCTCTCTCTCTCTCTTCATCTATTTTTCTTTGGCCTCGGCGTTGGCCGTGTGCCTTGGTCTCTTTTTGCCCCCCCCCCCCTTCTCTCTCTTCCCCCTTTTCTTTGCTCCCATCCGCTAACATAACCAGATTCCATGATCATCAAATCATCACCAGCAAAAAGGATGCCTTGGGTACGGAGCTTCTAAGCGTCCCGTTTGCCAAGGATGAGCTCGAAACTATACTCGAAGACTTGATGGGATAGACAGCCAAGGGGCAGGCTATTGTAGAATTACCTAGCATGTATAGAATATATGGACAAAAACACACCTAGACATTCAAACAAGGACATTTATAACGGCATAGTCAAGAAAAAAGAACACACAGTCAACAAGGACATTTCGTCTACTGATTGATTTCTTTCTCTATCACGAACGAAAAGAAGAAAGTCCGGTTTGCTCACGGACAAAGAGATAGAAACACCCAAATCAAGAAAAACGCCGAGCAATGCTAATGGAGGATAATCATATCGCCAAACTCTTGACACACGTCCACAGGACAACCGGCACGATGACATTGTCGTTACCGCCCGTGAGCACCGCCTCGGTCAGGCTAGCCATGGACGCGCAGGCGGCGACGTTCCTCCCCGTGTCCAAGGCGTCCTGCGTGGCCGTCTGCGTCTGCGAGGCGGGCCAAGCGCCCAGGGCCAGCCAGGCGCGCGCAAAGGCCAGCCCCGCAGCCACGGCGAGGGCAAAGGCCAGGCTGCCCTCCAGGCTCTTCCCCCCGCCCCAGAGCCACTTCCTGTGGCCGTAGCGGCGGCCGATGAGCGATGCCGCCGCGTCGCCGAGCCCGACGCAGACCACGCCGGACACCATGCTCACCTCGCGCGAGGGGAGCTCCCACCCGCGGGAGCAGCCCGCCCCGGAGCGCGGTAGGGTCGCCAGCGCGAGCCACAGCGGCACGGCGCAGCCTACCAGGAGGAAGATGTGGGATATCACGACCGGGCCGCGGAAGTCCCGGCCGTCGACGTAGGGTGCCAGAAACGAGGCGATGGGCTTCGACAGAGGCGGCAGCTGGCTCGCCCGGAGTAGGTCGAGGAGCAGGAACACGGCCAGCGCCAGGGACAGGGCCAGCGCCGCGAAGGCCGGATCGACAAACGTCGCGGGGAGCAGCATGCCGACCATTGTGAAGTGGAAGACTTTGCGGCGTGTGTCGACCTCGTAGACGGTGCCCAGGCGGAAGACGGTCAGCAGTCCCACCACGAGGACGCAGATCCAGTATCCCGAGACGAGGAGACGCGTGTTGGCCTCGCCAAAGTCGTCCTGCCGGAGGTGCTGCACCCATCCCATCCTGCACTCCTGCTTCCTGGCCCGCGACGGCAGGCAGATCCACCTCTCCAGGTTGGCGCCGACCACCTCGAAGCGGAACCAGGACAGGTCGCCCAGCATGTATCCCAGGCCCCAGCCTATGGGGTCCCTGCCGCGGAAGGCGGCAACCTCCATGTGCGTGCGGACGCCGGCGAGGATGACGAAGATCATCACGGCGTAGACGTACAGCGCGTACAGCCACTTGCGGATCGTAGCCTGGGTGTACGTGAGCTTTACAATCGGGCGGAGTGACGACGACATGGCGCGCCGCCTGCGGCCTGAGGGGGTGCGCGAGCCTCTGCGGTGGTGCTGCGACGTGTACGAGAGCGTCTGGCTACGCGGGAGGCTGCTAGGCTCGGATGGCCAGGATTCACGCTGGAGGCTCTTCGTAGCGTCCGACTCGAGACCGGCCGTCCCTGTCGTCTGCACGCGCTTAGGGCCGCGGGAGGACGACGGGCGGCGGCGGGGACCGCGGGGACCGTCGCCGTTGCTGTTGCTGTCCGACGACGCGGGCGACTCGTCGGGGACATCGGAATAGGGGTCGTCGCCTGACGAGAAGAGCCCGCTCTTGATGCGCTTCCAGGAGAACTCCCTAACCAGCTCCTTCCAGACAGGAAGCTGCTTGCGGTGTGCAGAGACTCTGCGGAAGCGCCACTTGGGCACGCGAGCGAGGTCGATGCCGGCGCGGATGACAGGCCCGCACAGGACGAGGATGCCCATCCCACCCATCCAGAGGAGCGACTTGAGCACCTTGGCCTGGGGGGACGAGGCGAGGGTGAGGAGGTTGACGAGGGAGACGGAGAAGAGCTGCAGCTCTGCCGTCAACAGACTCGTGGTCGTGAGACGGTGCAGGACTGCGCAGAGCGTCTGGTGGAGCGGGTAGAGGAGCGTCATGTCCTCGTCGGTCAGGTAAGCGTGGGCGGTTGAGGCGACGGCGTGGGCGCTGCGGTGCTGGGACGCGGCGCCGGCCCACACGAGCGGGAGGCACGACAGGGCCCAGTGGACGGAGTGGTACGTGTCCAGCTCGAAGCGGGGCACCAGGCTCTGCGGGAAGGAGCAGATGCTGAGGACGACGTTGGGCAGGATGACGGCCGGGTTATCGGTGGCGACGAGCAGCGAGACGAAGCTCGTGATGACGGGCGGGTAGAGGATCGGCGCCGGATCCGCGTCGGGCGGTATCCTGAGGGGCACGGCCGTGGAGGGGCTCCCCCTCCGATAAGCCCAGACGATGACGCGCAGGGGGTAGAGGGCCAGAAGGCCGGCGTACATCAGGCTCAGCAGCTCGTAGTCCCTCCCCCAGACGGTGAGCAGCGGCGCAACCTGACGGTTGGACCGGACCATGAGGCCCAGGGCCACGACATTGGCCAGCTCAGCGGCACGCTGCGAGAGGGCCTTGTGACGACGCAGCATGGTCAGCAGGGAGCCCCTCCCGCCGTGGCCGCGTGAATTGCGGGACCGCGCCCTCCCCCCCGCGAGTCCGGACCCGTGGCCGTCTGCTGCGGACGGCGACGGCAGCGGCGACGGCGACCTGGAGAGGTATTCGCCGGCGCGACTGCGCAGACCCTTGTGCAGCTTCGTGCGCGAGGCGGGCAGGCCCTTGAGAAAGTGCTCATCGTCTGCTTCCGTACCGCTCTCGCTGGCGGGCGAGGAGTCCTTGATGTTGAGCCGGTGATTATTCGACGGAGCCGACGGCTTCGTAAACTCGATCGAGGTAGGGTGCTGGTGAGGGGGGGAGGATGACGTCGTCGGATTCAGGCGGTCGGAAGCATGGGGAATGCCGGGGCTCGCGTGGTGATATGGATGAGGCGATCTATTCCATGTGCCGCGCAGATAATCCTGGTCGTCTGGGTTGAGCAGCGGCGGGGAAGGATCGGGAGGGAGGCTCTGGTCCTGGCCCTGGCTCTGGCTCTGGCCCTCGTTCTGGCTGGGCTGTGACATGGCAACGGATAGGAGGAGGACGGGGTCGCGTGGTGGGCAATCATGGATGGCGGGTGACGAGGCAGGAACCGCCTAGATTAAGAGATGAAGGAAGTCGTGTGCGATAGTCTTTTTTTCTTCTTTTTCTTTTTCTCTTCTTTTCGCGAATGCTCTGTCTTGGGAGGAATGTATGCAAGGGCCGAAGAGAGTCGCCGAGGGAGATGGCAAGTCGAAGAGGCACGTAGTTCAGTACCAGTTAGCAGCGGTAGCTGAGGGCGATTGCCGTCGGGATGAGAGTGGAGGGGAGGGGGGGGGCCTCTATCGTAGGAGTATGAGCAGCATGTATTGGCAGCGAAAAGTAATACTATTATGCCGTCAAAGAAGAGACAAATTCTAGGGGGGAGGGGGTTTATGCAGGATGTTTGTTTGCGGTGGGATGGAATGCAAAAAAAAAAAAAAATTTGAAACCTGGAGAGATGGGTTATTGATGTAAACAAGAGGGAAACGAGAGGCATCAAAGACAGAGTGACACGGTCCAAATAAATGGATGAGAACCGAGGCAAGTCGTTTCAATGTTTTAGGTGGAGGGGCAGGGCAGTGAAGCTTGGCAGGGTTGAGAGTATCTTATTGTGTGGCGGGATGATGGTAGAGGGCATGTTGCGTGCTGCTCTGGGTGGGTGTCACGACGACATGCGATACAGATTACGGATATCGTCAACACAGCAGCAGCGGTACGGTATCATTACTGCGACTGCCCACCAGCTGTGTTGGGAGCAACTGTCAATGAAACATCAAACAATGTCTTGTGATTTCCAGTGAAACAATTCCTGTCAACATCTCCATGCTCTGTTCCTCGGTCCCTGCCCCTCGGTCCGTTGGATAGAGCGTGTTGGTGCTACGAGCCTACGGGTAAGACATTAGCCTCGCTCCCGTTCAGCTGCACCGGATCCGACAAGCATATGGCTTCTATGATATCCGAGGTGCAGGAGGAGTCACATGTGGCGTTGCACAGGTTGCCGTCTTTTCCCTCGAGGCCGTACGACGATGTAGGGCGTAGACGAGCGAGCGGGAGTAGGTGGGTGGTGATGCGGCATAGTGATAGCAGTAGCCGTCAGCAAGCGATGGTATTTCGCATGTACCGGTATCCTGCCCGTACGTAATTGCGAGCGAAATAACATGTAAATATAACCATCCCCCGACTCTTGAGTCGTCGTAACGTGCGTAGCGTGTGGACATATGGCCGTCATCCGTTTGCCTATTGGATGTGGCGCATGCAGCAATGACGGGGGTGGCATCCCGGCCATGGGGACTGAGGCTCTGACTGGCGACAGGTCATCGGGGGGAATATTCGTGGAGAGGATGACGGATGGCACCATCCAAGATGGGTGGTGTGGTGGCCAGGTAGTATTATTAGCTGATATTCGAGCAATAGTAATGTAGTCATGGTAATGCAGCAGCAGCAGCAGCAGCAGTAGTAGTAGTGAGTAGGAGGAGTAGTGAGTAGGAGGAGTAGTGAGTAGGAGGAGTAGTGAGTAGGAGGAGTAGTGAGTAGGAGGAGTAGTGAGTAGGAGTATGTGGCATGCAGTGTGTCGAAGATGATGCCATTCTCCAAGAGGCCGTCCAGGACATTCGCAGTCCCCCCCTCCCCCGCGTCGCTGTGCAGAGTGATAGTATCAAGGGGGGGTCTGATCTGTCTGCAGTTCCTGTTGAAGAACACCACCAAAAAGTACATAAATGTCGTGGATATGATGGCGAGACTCAGGAGTCATCGACTGCTTATGTAATGCTGTAATACACGAGGGAGATGGCGCAGCTACAGGCGCAGCTGCAGGCGCAGCTACAGGCGCAGCTACGATTAGCGACAGGTAATCTGTAGGGTGTCGCCAGATGGCGTGCATGCACAGCTGGCGGCTGTCCGAGACGGGGGGCTCTACCGACTACGGAGTATTGCTCTGTACAGATTACAGCATTCATATCAGCAGGAGTGGCAGTCCACGGGTACATCATACATCACCTGTACAGGCACGAGCACGCTGCGATACACCGTTATACCTGTATAGTGCAGGCAGGTCCACAGGTGCACAGCGACCTAACGGCTCAAGCGCAGCTGGACTCGCGGCTGGCTGTCCGTGATACGTTCGATATGATATTTACATATACCAGTCTTGGCGGCGTATGGCAGTGGCTATATTCTCAGAGAGCAGAGACCCCAGAGTAATCACTATATCACTATATCATCGTACTGCAACGCCTGGTGGCATCGCTATTACGAGGGCTATCAGTATCATCAAGACTGATGTACCGCCTGGTAGTAGGAAGCAACGATAATATATATATATATATATATATATATATATATATATATATATATATATATATGCAGGCGGGTGGCTGGGTAGAAATGGCAGTATCTTATCCGATGATTACTGCCTTGCTGCCTCTTCCTCTCCTCCTTGCCACCACCAGCTGCAGCTAAAACTTGGATGCCGACCTGCTATTTTTCCTCCTCAACGATACGCCCATTATCGAAGACTGGTCAAGACGGCGCCAAACGTTATGCTGGTAGAGAGATGGATTGTCAGATGGCACGAGCCACGTATCCGTCATTGTCCTCAGAAAGAGTCCTCGGAAAGAGAGCAGAAGTGTGGAGGGGAAAAAAAAAAGAGTTTGTAAAACGGGCCGTTACTCTAGCATATGTAATACTAGCCAGAGTTTATCAGGCTGCGCTACATGATATTGTATTGAGTAATACCCTCACCACAAATACGAATAGGAACATTTAGACGTTGATGAATAATCTACACGTAATGGAGTCATTACTCGTACGAGTAATACCCGTAGTAGTCGAGAGGGAGAGGGAGAGAGAGAGAAGAGAGAGAGACACGCGCACGGCAAGAAAGGAGAGAAAAATTCACCGACGATACATGATACATGGTATCGACCTGTCTAGCAGTCGTAGCGTTACTCCGTCAAGGTGTGAGCGGGGCTGCTGGGCTACGCACGCGGGACCAGAGACAAGAGGCCTGGCGGGGCGGCTGATGGACGGTTCATGGACGGCCAACCGATTCCTATTCACTGTCTTCTCCCCTCATCCTCCTCCTCCTCCTCCTCTTCCTCCTCCTCCTTACTCCTTGTTCCATAGTGAGAGGCAGGGAGAGACTGATGAGGAGAGAGCCTGTCGCGTACGAATGCTGTACTGAGATGATTGGATGATAGTAGATGATACCCCGGTCCCAATCTCAATCTTCGGATGGCTGGGAATCGCTGAATTCCAGTTGCTTGCCGCCAATCCAAGACACTTCGCAGTCAGAGAGCCCGAGCTTGATCTCCCGATCCCCTTGGGACTGCTGATACAGCTGCATGGAAGTCTGCAACTGCGACTGCAACTGTGCAGCTGTCCCCGGCGGTCCGAAGGGGTGCCCACAATGACCTACCTGCACGAGAGAGTATCATTCTGTTGCGAATCGTCAGTAAACCAGTCGCTTTCTCTCCCTCTCTCTCTCTCTTCTTTCCGACCTTTTCTCCCCCCTCTCTTCTCGCTTGGCCGTAGTGATATTCTGTTTCGTATCATGATTCTTCTCTCCCTTACTACGTCGTATAACCGCCTCGTATCGACTATTACTGCTAATAATAATACGTAAAACAGCAACAACAACCTAGCACGAGTAATCTGTACAGAGTGCAGGTAGAGTAATAATAGCAACAGACAACACACTTCTCTCTCCCGCCCCTCCCTTTCGTCTCTCTCTCTCTCTCTCACACACACACACACTCTCTCCCTCTCTCTCTGCCATAACACCGCCTAGAAGAGAGGCTAGACGGGAAGATCTTTTTGCGCAGGATGACAAGATCGACGTCGTACCGACTCACTCCGCCATCCGACCATCCGGCAAAAGCTTCGTCATTCCTCGTATTGTCCTCCCTCCATGGTCCACGGTCCATGATCTGTTATCCACATCCACCACCGCCTTGGCCTTTTACGACGATGCCGCTTGCCTACTTTCCCCACTCCGTCTAGCTGATGCTCCGTACTGTGCTCTGCCGCCGCAGTTGTAGCTGATGATGCTATTGCTAGTATCGCTACCAACACTAGTCTGATGATTCTCTTGCACATGTCTTCAACTGTCCTCTTCCTTCTTCTCCTCTCCTCTCTCCCATCGTTTCATCTTGACCCTCACACGAGTAATACCTCCACCCGTAGTCGCTACGCCTATTCTGTAACAGAAATCGGGTCAATTGCTATTCACTACCTAGCATTAGCTAGCGATGCTACTTCACTACTGTATGCTGGGTTTCTTGGTTGATACCGACTCCATACTTGCACCAGCCCCTCATGCTCCTCCTGCCAAAATACTCCACCGGGCTGCAGCCGTGTGTCGCCGCTTCCTTGTGATTTACGTGTAATATATTATATATATATATATATATATATATATATGATCCCACCTCCTCCGCGCCTTCCTTTTTTCTCCCCCTGTTTCTCTCCCTTCCTTCCTCTTTGTCTATTTCGCTATCATCATACCATCTCCCCTATTCAACATCCTCTTTTTTTTTTTTTTTTGGCCTTCTCCCCTTCCTTCCACCATCTCCGTACTCCTCTCTACTCCATCCTCCTCCTCCCTCCTCCCTCTACGTAGTTGCTCTCCCGTCATGTTCTCTTCCATCTAATACTCGTATCAACTGCCCACGTCGACGGCGTCCACTTTCTCCCATTACGCAATAAAGCAACAGATACTTCCCATATACCACACGCACACCAAAGAAAAAACACACCACCACACATAACGCAAGAATGTCCTCCCAAGATGATGCTCTTGGCCTAGAGGCTGGAGCTTATGAAAAGGCTCAGCAACGGCCTCACCACCACAGCCGCCGGAACCACAATACTGTCTCCCGCCGACGTCGAATCCTCCTCGTCTCGTTGCTCTTGGTGGCAGCCACATTCACTTTCTGCCTGATACTGCTGGCTCCCTCCATGATGAAGCCTTGCCACCATATGCTATCTGGTCTGCATACCGCAGGAACCGGTGGCGGTGCTACGCTTGCTGCGGCCCCAGGTCAGGACAGACAGTCTGATATCTTGGACTCCAAAGACATTGTCAGGCTTGACAGCCGCCAGGATGACAGCTCTGGTAACTCCACGTCTGCCTCGACCACTGCCGATGATGCCCAGCCTACCTCTGCGCTTGCCGGTACCACGGACGACGTGTCCAGCGCCACAGCCTCAAGCGGTTAGTTCTTCATCGATATGACTGCGGTGATATACCCATAACTGTGTGCTGACGCTCGCCAAGATGGTCAAGTTACCGCATCCACATCCACGTCTGATCTTGCTACCTCTGACGTCGGGACCACCACGCAACCGTCCGCTACTTCGGACCTGTCTACCGACCCCGCGCCCACAACTACTGCCGACCTCGCGCCCACTACTACCACACAAGGTGAACAATCTTCCACTCCCGATGAGACTACAGCAGCACCTACCCTCACTGCCTCTTCCGATGATGCCGCTGCCACGTCTGATGCCCCTTCCTCTTCCGATGATCCGTCCTCTTCCGATACCCCAACCTCGACAGACGCCCCAGCGTCCTCTGCGGACCCGGAGCCAACTGCCACGATCACGACCACCGAGGACGGTACGTCTACTACCACTTTCCACAATCCAGAGAGCGGATCGGATTCCCCCACTTCCTTTGCCACGTCTGCCCCCGACCCTACCTCCACCGCCACCACTCAAGATGCCCCTGAGCCCGAGACCACGGCCGCATCCAGTGAGTCTCTGCCAGAAACTGCTTCTACTGCTCTGCACCCTTCCAGTGAAGCCGTGTCATCCGTCGACTCTCCTTCCAGCTCCGACGTGGCCCAGGACGATTCCTCCACCGTCACAAACTTTCCCGAACCCACTACGTCTGTGACATCCGACGAGCCCCGACCGGAGGAGACGTCAGACGCCTCTGGTATGTTGGCCGAGCCACCAGCGCTGGTTTGTCTTGATTTCAATCTTGCCTGATTTCAAGCTGCACATATGTCTTTGCTGGCGAGGCGTTTGGCGAGGCGTTTGGTGGCGACTTCTAGGTCTAACAAGTTGATGTCATGCCGATGTCTTCTCACCTCCTGATCCTGCTACTTCTTCTCACCACCCACTGCATTCTCCCCGTCTCCACTTCGAACGACGAAAGCCCTTGGCCACGACTGACGATTTTGAATAGGAACTACGCAAGATCCCTCTACAGAGGACGCATCTACTTCTGCTGAAGAGAACACTGCCACTTCAACCCAAGGAGGCGATGTGACCAAGACTCAAGACGCCAACCCTACTTCGACCGCAGGCGTCAACGACAGCTCCACTCCAGACGACAACACCACGACTGATCAAACCAGGCCTAGTTCGACCCAGCAGACCAACCCAGCTTCGACCCGAGTCGACGGCACGACGATAACCGAGACGGAGAAGCCCACGTCGACTGTGAACGGTGACGACGACTCTACCACTACCAAGACGGCGAGCGACGACACGCCCACTCGTACCTTGACAAACGACGACGACGACTCCTCCAGCTCTACTACCAGGGGAAAGGCTACCACTACAGAGGCGTCGTCGAGCGCCATCGAGGAGCTCATCACTTCGACTCTGCCGAATGGTAGCACCATGACCTCAACCTCGACTTCGTGGGTCGACGTCGACCCCACTTCCTCGCCTTCAGACTCGGGATCCAGCGATCCTGACCTGCAGAACTCGGCCAACGGGCTACTCCTGGGTCACCTGGTTCCCGGCCTCGTGGCTCTTGCTGCTGCCCTTGTACTGGCCGCTTAGTCTGACCTTGACTTGCAACATGTTTGACCTGATAGAGGTCTCTGAACGAGTTTCCTTTTTCCTTTTTCATTTTTTTCATGTTACACTTAATGACCTGTATACGGCCAACTCATTCCTTTGGCGTTTTGCTTCTTGGGTTTCTCTGCTTTGAATTTGGATCTGGTTGAAGATGATAGACTGGATGGCATCATGCCGGTGATCCGCGGCTTTATTGGGTTTGGCTTCCAGCATAGTAGGGATACAGACGCCGGCGTATATACTACACGCGGCTACAAGCATTGGGTAGAGACAGTAAATGGCTGGGATTATGCAATACGGGAGCTGCCTTATCGGAGTGAGATGTGTCTTCAGGTCACCTTGTTGAAATGGTATCAACAGGTGTGCGGTTACACCTTGGGTCCCCCCCCCCCCCCCCCCGTCCGTTTGATGCCCTGATGTTCCCGGGAGGGCGGAAAGTGCGCGAGGACAGAGTGATGCATCGCATTACTCGTAGCCATCGTTCCCGGGCAAGGAGAGAACCAGATGATGTGGTATTGGCGACGACAAAAATTGCGGCCGTAGGAGGAAAACCTGACTGGTGAGCTGCGGCACAGACCCCCCAAGACAAAGACCAGTCGAGTTGTGTGGAAGAATCAAGATATCTACTATGAGGGGGATATTCCCAAAGTGAGAGTAAGAATGTAGAAAACAGAGCCATATTACCTATATATCCCATGCACCCTTGACGCCATCTATGATCCAAATGCGTGCTCCTCTCATAGTCCCTCAGTCGTTGCCTCAGTCGTTCCCTTGATCGTGTCCGCCTCCCCCGCTGGCGCGGCCGGCCATATGTGCGCACCGGCCCCCTTGCTTGTCGGCTATCAGCCCGGTCCGATCTTGGGCATGTCGTGGTGTTCGCTGAGCTTGGAGAGGTAGGTGTTGAGCTCTTCGACGCGCTCCTTGTGCGTCTTCAAGAGTTCTGGCCTGGATGTCTCTGCCATTTTCAGGAGCTGCAGGACCGTGCAACGTCAGCATGTCTCTCTGGCCCCCTATGCCTCTGGCCCCCTATGCGTGGTGATGGCTCGGGAGAAGCAAGGCGATGCACGATTCGAATGGGAGGGATGTAGGGGATCAGGGAAGGAAAAGAGGGAGGAGAGAGGGGGGGGGGCGCGGCGGATGGAACGCACCCTCTTCTTGCGCGTCTCTTCATATCGAAGTTCTGCTTCCGTCTTGATGGGCTGATGATGGTCATTGCCGACATCGTCGTGGTCGTCGTCGTGGTCGTCATGGTCGTCGTCGCGCTCGCGGTTCTGGTCGTCGCCTGTGGATAGGTTCTTTTCGAGGTCCTTCTTCTTGTCCGCATCTTTTCCCTTCTTCTTCTTCTTCTTCTTCTCGACCTTGACGCCCTTGAGGCGTAATTTGCCGCCGACGACGCCGCTGAGGTCGGACATGGTCGGCTGAGCCGGGGTTGGTAGGTTGGCGTTGATGGCTGATGGGGCGGATTGTGACGGGTACAGACTCGTGCTGCAGGTATCAATAATGAATGGGGTGGGAGAGGGAACGTGGGGCTGGGGTTGGGGGAGTATATAAATGTAATGATCGGATTGCAGCGATATGCGTAATGCTCGTACGGTCCGGTGTGGTATCAACACCGGTGCAGCGCTACAAGAGGTGATATGCCATGGACCATGGTAGTGCTGATAATCCGTACGAGCATTTCCCTCTTCTCAACAGCGACGAAAAAAGAAGAAGAAAAAAAGTAGAAAAAAGAGAGGACGGTTCAGTATGAACATGATCCAGTCGGGAGTCGCTGATAGCCATCACAGGTACGGTACTCTCAAGACCCTCCTCTTACTGCTGTATTCATCACTATACTACCTGTATTATGTGGGTAGTTGGGTGGGATCATTACATAATCAGCAGACTGGAATTCCAGAGTCCCATTGCCTCAGTTGCCATGATAATGCGAGGAGGACTTGTATGTACGGAGTAGTAAACAATATGTGATGATATATCCGTACGGAGTGGGAGGTGTATTGTATATGGTACCATACGAGTTGGGCACACCGAGACTTGTGATTATGGTGGATGATGCTCTCTCTACTCTCCGTACTCGTAATAATACATGATATGTATTACCACGGTCCATCGGGCATTGAGAACCAAGACTCGCCCTTTTTTTTTTTTTTTTGTCTTTGTCCCCCTTCTTCCCCCCAGCACTCCACATCTTTTTTCTTCTTAATCTCTATCCAAGAACGCTCTTGCATCGCCAACAATACGACGCACAGTGTTCTTTATTCTTCTTTCTTCTTTTTTTCTAATAAATTTTATGCTCCGGGGGGTTCTGATCCTTGCTTATGGTCTATCCTATCTCCCCTCAAGTGCTCTTGGTCGCCTCATTCTCTTGACTATGACTGTCTATTTCGATATTATGATACAAATTTAACGATCGACACGACTTCTCTCTCCCTCCTCCCTTTTCTAGCAGACGTCACGCGACTCAGCATTTCAACTTTCGGAACACGACAGCAAACAGCTATGCGCTATAACTGCTGATTCACGAACGCCACAGACACACACACACACACACACACACACACACACACACACACACACACACACACACATGCACATACACATACACTGCTTGGCAACAACCACGCGCGCAATTGAATAACAACACTCCAGGGAGACGAGGAGGAAAAAAGGGAGAAGGAAAGGAAAGGGAAGAAAAAGAAAGGAAAAAGAAAAACAGAAATAAGCAGGAAACAGAGGATGACGTCGCCAGGCGGGCTGCACCCCAGCAGCGGTCGAGACTCGCTAGAACTAGCATCGCTAGCCAGCTCAAGCCACCTCAACGACGATGGCGCAAGCGAGATGTCATCCCGACCGAGCATGGGATCCTCGCGGCGACTGTCTTTTGCCAACGAAGACCCCTTAGACGACGGCAACGATGCAGCGCGCACGGCCGGTGGCGGTGGCGGAGGAGGTGTATCGTTGAGGGATCGATCACAATCTGTCACGTCCGTCTTCGACTTTGCGTCAAACATGTTCCCCCTCAGCTCGACCACCGACGCGGGCGGCTACGCTCCCCTGGGGGCGTCGACGACGGCGGCCTCGCGGCCCGGCCGGGGCTTGCTGGGCGGCGGGTCGCTCGAGAGGAACAAGACGCTCACGTACGTCAACGGGCTGTCGCTCGTCGTGGGCCTGGTCATCGGCTCGGGCATCTTCAGCTCGCCCAGCCAGGTCGGCAGCCAGGTCGGGTCGCCGGGCGCCGCGCTGGTCGTCTGGGTCGTCGCCGGCCTGCTGGTCTGGACGGGCGCGTCGTGCTACGCCGAGCTGGGCGGCGCCATCCCCCTCAACGGCGGCTCGCAGGTCTACCTGGCCAAGACCTTTGGCGAGCTGGCCGGCTTCCTGTTCACCTGGGTCGCCATCCTGGTGCTCAAGCCCGGCAGCGCCGCCATCATCTCCATCATCATGGGCGAGTACCTCGTCCGCGCATTCATCGGCGCCGACGCCGAGACCGTCAACCCCTGGGTCAACAAGGGCGTCGCCCTCGCCGGCCAGGCCCTCATCGCCTTCATCAACTGCCTGTCCACCAGGGCCGGCACGCGCGTCAACGACGTCCTCATGCTGCTCAAGTTCGTCGCCCTGCTGGCCATCACCGTCATCGGCATCGTCGTCGCCGCCACCGGCCTGTCCTACAAGGGCGAGCCGAACGATGGATGGAGGACTAGCGGATGGTTCGACGATACCTCGTCGGATCTGTCTGCTTGGGCACTTGCCCTGTACGCCGGTCTCTGGGCCTACGATGGCTGGGACAATGTACGCCTCTCCTCCTTCCTGCCCTTGCTCTCCCCACCTGACAGAGGAGGTTTTTTATTTATTTTTTACTTTCAATTTTCTTTCAATTTTTTTTTTACTGACATACCGTGGCCACACAGACCAACTATGTTGTCGGCGAGTTTCGCAACCCCACCCGCGACCTCCCCCGCGTCCTCAACACGGCCATGCCGATGGTCATCGTGGCCTACGTCCTCGCCAACGTGGCCTACTACCTCGTCCTCCCGCTGGACAAGATAAACAGCACCAACACGGTGGCCGTGGCATTCGCCTCGCAGGTCTTCGGTCCCGCCGGCGCTCTCGTCTTCGCCCTGGTGGTGAGCGCCAGCTGCTTCGGCGCCCTCAACTCGTCGACCTTTACGTCGAGCCGCCTCATCTACGTCGCCGGCAAGGAGAACTACCTCCCCGCCCTGTTCGGCCGTCTGGGCACCGGTGACAGCGACGGCGGCGGCGGCGGCGGCGGCGTCGACGCGGGCAGCACCCGGCGCGGCCGCGGCACGGCGGCGAAGACGTGGATGGCCCGCCGGCTGCGGTCCTGGCTGGGCGACGACGATGCCGGCCTCTTCTACACGCCCATCTACGCCATCATCCTCAACAGCGTCCTGACGGCCACGTACTGCGTCGTCGGCGAGTTCGGCACCCTCGTCACATTCTACGGCGTGGCCGGGTACACCTTCTACTTCCTGACCGTGCTGGGCGTCATCATCCTGCGCGTCAAGGAACCCCACCTCGACCGCCCCTACCGCACCTGGATCACCACGCCCATCGTCTTCTGCTGCGTCAGCCTATTCCTCCTCAGCAAGGCCGTCTTTGCCGAGCCCCTGCAGACGGTCGTCGTCGTGCTGTTCATACTGGTGGGCATACCGGTTTACTTCTGGAGGATTCGGGGGAGGGATAGGCCCATCAAGAGGAACGATCACGATGATGCGCCGTGGTGGAAATTCTGGCGTTCATCTTGAAGAAAAAAAAGAAAGAAGAAAGAAAAAAAAAAAGCCACCCCCCCCCTTCTTCATCCTCTTCATCTTCTTCTTCATCTGTATTTCTGTATCTGTTCTCATCACTTCCCATTGCTTCACGTGTATCTGGCGAAATAGACGGCTCTCATGCATGTTGCCCGACGTCCCGTGACGAGGATAGAGCGGCTTTGGAAGGGGATTATATATGACATGTACATGTTTTTTCAATCATCTTCTTTTTTTTAAAAAAAAAAAAAACACACAGGAAAAGGCATCTACGCACGACTGATAAAACAAGACGAAATAATATTCTCAAACGGAAGCAAAATGTGACAGAAAGGTAACGATCAAGACAGAGGCTCTGATATAAGATTTACATTTCGTAAGTCGATTCCTGCGGGGGCAGTGTGTGTACTAGCTGCTACATACATGACTGATATAAAGAGGCTGTTCCAACTGCTGCCCTCCCAGGGAATCCTTTCCAAGGAAACCATTAAGACATGGGGGTTGACATATGAGATGAGATGAGCGAGAAGGGGGCTCGAGCATGTATGCTCATGAGATGCAGATTACTGGGGGTGGATATGATATCAAGACAGGACTTGCGATGGTGAGAGAGGATCTACTTCCTCTGGCCGTAAGCCTTGGTGGCGTAGTCGCCGGCGTGGACGATGAGGTCCTGAGGGCGGTAGTCGAACTTTCCGGAGAAGTAGCTCTGGAGGATGGACTTGGTGCCCTCGGCGTAGCGCTTCTGGGCGTCGAGCGAGGTTCCCGACATGTGGGGGACCATGGCGTTCCCGCCGTTGAACGGGTTCTTGGCGTAGCGGAGAGGGTGGTCCTGGGGGGCAGGCTGGGGGAACCAGACATCGCCTCCGTACCCGGCGAGGTGACCAGACTTGAGGGCCTCGGCGACGTCCTCCTTGACGACGATGGCGCCACGGGCAGTGTTGACGAGGTAGGAACCTGTCGTGTCTCTTATCAGAGGATTGTTCTAACATTGGTGGTGGGGGGAGGGGGGTTGAGGGGTGGTTTTTTCGAAGCAGATGAGAAGAAACGAAAAAGAGAGGGGAAAAAAAAGAAGACGAAGAACGTACCCTTCTTCATCTTGGAGATGAGCTCCTTGTTGAAGAGACCCTTGGTCTTCTCGTGAAGAGGGCAGTTGATGGTGACGATGTCGCACTGGGAGAGCATCTCCTCGAGCGAGTCGACGCGGCGGCAGCCAATCTCCTTCTCGACCTCGGGAGAGAGGGGCTGGTAGTCGTAGTAGAGCAGCTCCTTGCAGTCAAAGGGCTTGAGGCGGCGGAGGACGCGCTCGCCGATGCGGCCGACGGCCACGGTGCCGACCACCTTGCCCTCGAGGTCGTACTCCTGCTTGGCGGCCTCGGCGACGTTCCAGTCGCCGCGCTCGATCATCTCGTGGGCTGGGACGAAGTTGCGGATCAGGACCAGGATGGTCATGACGACGTGCTCGGCCACCGACACGACGTTGCTGCCCGTCACCTCGGCCACGGTCACGCCGCCGTTGGTCTTGTTGGCCGCGTTGAGGTCGACGTGGTCGGAGCCGATGCCGGCCGTCACGGCAAGCTTGAGCTTCTTGGCCTTGGCCAGACGCTCGGCTGTCAGGTAACCGGGATGGAAGCTGTTGGGAGACGTGGCGCGTTAGAATTCTTTTTTTTTCTTTCCCTCTCCGCTTCTTCTTCTTCCTCTTTTCTCTTTTCCTTCATCTCTTGACATTTCATTTTGAAGGAACATGTCACATATCCTTTCAAGGAATATGACGGCAGCAGAGAAGAAGAAGAAAACGTTCAAACTTACGGAGTAGTGATGATGACTTCGGCGTCGACGAGCTCCTGGTCAAACTTGGAGTTCTCACCCTCCTTGTCAGAGGTGGTCACCAAGGTGTGACCTTGGTCCTCGAGCCACTTGCGGATGCCGAGCTCATTCTCAGTGGTACCGAGAAGACCGGGAACCTTTTTGAGAGATTTCATGTCAGTCAAAACGAACGACGCCACACAAGTCTGGGGGTGCGTATCGAGTGTATGCGCCTTGCGCGAGGGGGTGTGGGCATATTGGGGAGCTGAGCATGCATGTCGATCTATCGGGTGCCGTCTGTGTAAGTCGAGAGAGCCAAGCTTCCCAACCTAGACAGGACCCAAACCACGACCCCCCTCACTTCCCCGCAACAGCCGCAGCGGTGCCTTCGGGAAGTCGGGGGGAAGTCGGGCAGCTGGGTCTCTCTCAGTTCCCAAAGGCTACGCCGAGATTCAATTGGACGCCTCCTTATGCAGGCTGAACCAAACAAGATGCCCAGCTCTGCCGTTATACATCGTCATCGACGTTTGGTTTGGGAAGGGAGGGGGGAGGGGGGTTTAGGGCAAGGACAAGAGGCAACGATCAACTTACATCCTTGGCGTGCTGACCACCGTCGTAGAGGACGAGAAGAACCTTGACCTGGAATTGTCTCCAGTCAGTATTATGAAGAATTTCCTGTCACGACGAGAAAGAAGCTTACCATCTTGGCGGCTGTTGTGTATGTGTTGTCGTAACGGAAGGAGGGGCGTGGAGGTGGAAAGATGGAAGAAGCTGTTGATGATACTGGAGATCAAGAAATGGGATATATGTAAGAGAGCGGGAGAGATGGAATAAGGGAAAACCAAGAATGGAAGAGGGAGCTATTTATGTCTTCCAACGGACGGGAAGAAAGGGAGGAGATGGAACCAAGATAGCGAAGCTGCTCCGTTGGTTTTACACAACTTCGGCGTCACGGGGATTAGAGACGGGGGACATATCCAACCGCCCCCCCCCCCTCGTGATATCCGGTTAAAACTGGTTCTAGCTCATCATAGACCGTGAAAGAGAGGAGCCTCCTACGCACCGAATTCGGGGTTCCTGTATAGCACTACTACGGGTTTCCTGATTGAACGGGGTTGCGTGGGTTGCGTCAAGGAAAAAAAAAGCAACGGCTCATCACTAGGGAGGGGGAGACGGACCGAGCGTCGGTTTGCAGAACCTATGACGGGGTAGACAATGTCCGGGATTTAACTCGGTGTTCGGTATGTGAGGGGATGGATCACCGGAGCAAAGAGGAAGAAGAGGGACCCGAACCTTGAGAGTACGTAGCATCGATACTAACAGCTATTGCTAATGTCCGCATATGGGAGAGTAGCACACAGACTGATGGCCAATGTAAACCTGCTGGCCCCCTCATCTCACGGTGGACCTCGGCCGTATGAAGTAATGGCAGATGATGAGCCGGGCTTTCGTCATGTTGTGATGCTGCCGCTTGTTATCATCTAACCATTCGTTGTCTAGGACCATTACTCGTAGTCGTACCGATGCTGTGAGGTCTTAGTACTTATCATGATAAATAACACTATAGTCTGCACGAGAGTGACCCTTACGTCGACAATCCACCTCACCCGCTGCTTTTCCTTAAATCGGAACCGATCCTCTGTTTCAAGCTTCATGGCATTCCCCTCGTCCCGGGATCCTGCTCCGCGACCGGATTCTGTGCTCGATCTCCGTCGGCGCGCAGTTGCCGCCCTTCCAATTGTTTCCGTAGTCTTTTGCCTTGTGATGTACCTGACAACCCCCCTGTTCTCTCTTTGGTTGTCATCCGTAATATGCCATTCCAGATCCCGAACTGCGGAAAGAATGCGGGTTATTCATGTCGTATATATATATATATATATATATATATATATATCGAAAATTTCCCACCAATATTTCTTCCCAACCACATGTCGCTCATAACCCTTTTGCCGCTATATAAACCTTTTGTCGTCATCAGATGGAAATCGACATACTTGGAAGCCTCTTCGACGCCTGCTGCGGTGACGCTTGATGACCTTAGAGAGTAGCAGCGCAGCGACTTGTGTATTTGTGATGGAAGACAGAGCTGCCCTTGAACTCTCCCAAACGCCAGAACCGACCCACGTTTCGCCGATGCGGGGCTCTAGTAGACTCTCTCATATGAAGGGATATGACACTGCTGCTTGTGCCAAGAACAATGACGGAGAGGGCCGAAGTATCAGCCCCCAGGATACGTCTCGAAGGCCCCCCTCCGGCAACGCATAGAAATCGTCACTGGTGGGCTGAGGCGGAGGGAACGGAGGTGTCTTGATCGACTAAGCGGCGTTTACGTATGCATCGTATCTATATACTGTCCTTCTCCGGCCCGGAACCTCGAAACACATCGGCCTCGGAAGATGAGCTCAGCGGCAGTGAAGATTGCCGTCGTCGGCGTCGGCCTCATCAGCCCCAGGCACGTGCAGACGGTGGTCGACAGCCCGGACGCCCAGATTGTCGCCATAGTCGACCCGGCGCCGGCTGGTGCGACGCTGGCGGAGAAGCACGGCGTCTCGCATCATCCGTCTGTGGCGGCCCTCGTCGACTCGGCCGACCGACCTGACGCGGCCATCATCTGCAGGCCCAACCACACCCACGCACCGTTGGCGAGGGAGCTGTCCTCGGCGGGCGTCCGTGTGCTCATAGAGAAGCCCTTCAGCACTGACGTGCCCGGCGGCGAGAGGCTGATCGAGCATCTCGGGAAGACGGGGGTACGAGCCCTGGTCGGCCATCACCGCCGTTTCAACCCGTGCATCGTGGCCACCAAGGACGTCATCGATTCGGGGAGGCTGGGTCATGTCGTGGCCGTCAACGGCATCTGGGCCCTCCAGAAGCCCCCCCCCCCCGAGTACTTTGACGGCCCTGGCGAGTGGCGCCGTGAGTCGGCGGGAGGCGTCGTCCTCATCAACATGATCCACGAGATCGACCTGCTGCATCACCTTTTGGGCCCCATCACGAGGGTCCATGCGGAGAAGACGGCCTCGCGCCGCGGCTTCCCGGCCAAGGAGGGTGCCGCTCTCACCCTGCGATTCCGATCTGGCGCCGTCGGCACCTTCATCCTCTCGGACAACATGCCCTCGCCGCATAACTTTGAGTCGGGGACGGGCGAGAACCCCCTCGTCCCGCGCACAGGTCAGGACTTCTACCGCATCTTCGGCACACAGGCTTCGCTTAGCGCGCCCGACATGTCTGTCTGGTCTTACGCCGACGCCGCAGAGGCCTGGGGATCGGACATGGTGCGAGGGACGGCCGAGGTGGAACCCGCCACGCCATTCGATCTGCAGCTCCGCGCACTTCTGCAGGGTCGTCGGCGGTCATGAGCTGTCGAGCTGCACGCCCAAGGCTGGCTTGGCCGCTCTCATTGTGTGTCGACGGATAAAGGAGGCCATCGAGGGGAACAAGACGGTCGACATTGGGCATTACGAGCTGTGATGTGTGCAATGGTATGCGTGAAACGCACCGTTTCCTGACAAGGCCGAGCTGAACTTGCAACTAACGGTAGATGGAAATCTAGAACGACGCGACGACAGGAAAGAGCACTGTCTAGAAAACGTTATCGCGGTCCCATCGCGCCCTCCTGTCGAATGACATATGATCTACTTGACACACCCTGGCCCTAGCGCCGCCGTATGATGGCCGGATGACGGCCGGTCTGCTCACGGATTGGAGGTGGCGCGGGAAGATGGCTGTAGCTGTTCAACACGAGTCGATGACATTCCGCCTAGCTGATTATTTGATATACATACGTACGTGAAAGGTCCCTGGCACCGTTTGTCGATGCTTTGCGCTAGACGTACCCGAAACACGAAACACGAAAGAGAAGAAAAAGAAAGTCTAAGCATGGTGAAGTTTATACGTATATATACCATGCACGATTGGGGATGTGAATCGTATATAACTGCAAGACGAAGCCCTCTCTCCTCCGCAAGTCTTGAAACCTCTCTAGGTCGTTCCCGAACCACAAATCACTCTGCATCATCCTCTCCAGTACTGAAGCCTCCCTTCCCATCATGAAGTACACACCTGCCGTTTCGGCCCTGGTGGCCCTCGCCCCTCTCGTCGGAGCAACAGACTATACGGAGCCGATGGCCAAGCAGTCTAGCTTCCAGGCCTTCAACCTGTGCGTAAACGTTCTGGGCGACCAGAACAGCGGCCCCAGGTTCGACCCGCCCATCCAGGATGCATACGTCAACAGCCTCCACGTCGGTGCCGGCCTGGCCCTAGCCCAGGTCACCCTCGACATCGGCCGCGTCTTCTACCAGAACGGCACGGCTGCCAACGCGGCTGCCACCTCCATCATCACCGACGGCGGCACGCCTCCCTTCCCTGAGGGCCTGACCGTCGTTCCCGACGACCCAGCCCAGCCGGCCCTGGCGACTGTCCACATCGACAGCGGCGCCGGCACCCCAGGGCTCAACATCAGCCCCCGTCCCGGCCCGGAGCTGCGCACCTCCAACACCACGGATAGCGGGCAGTTCCTGGCTTGCCACGAGCCTATCCCCTATTATAGCGGCGCCGTCTTCACCGTCATCAAGCATCTCACTCCGGCGACAGCCCCGGTCCCGCCCGAGTGTAAGGCTATCCAGCTGTTTCCCAAGTGCACCAGGCTCAATGACTTGCCGCCGGGGGCTTCTTCGAACCACGCCAGTGTCATGCAGACAGAGTGCTACTTTTGATCTTCCAATCATTCAATCGTCCCTTCTCTTCTCAGCTCATATCCTGGGAGATCTGGTTCTATATTAGTTGTCGTCTCATCAGTATAACCTAATAATATACCTTACCTACATGTAGGTTAGCAGCAACATCTTGGTCCTTGACGCTTCAACATCACTCCTTTGAGGTTTGTCAGTACAATATCAATATGAATCCATAAGATATATCCGCTACCCCGGACTCCGTATGATGCCATAACCATGAGTATTCACGTCAAAATCAAGCTCTCGTATATAAGAAGGAGGCTGGTCAGCACGGCGATAACGGTGGTTGGGAATACGATGCACAGTGCGGATTAAGTGGATATCTGCCAGGTACGCCAACTGCAAACAGCCATACTAACCCTAAATAGGCAACTTACGAAGCATTTCGAGGGCAGATACGGGAGGGAGCGGCCAGGCACCTGCACCCCAGCACAGTATTAATTATGGCAACACTACAGTATTCACACCGTACTAGGCTGCGTCACCGTCACAGTCCCAACACCCAAAGCTTCATCCCTCCGCCACCTCATCTCTCTTTCCCAACAACCTCTGATCACGCCTCATAACTCTCCTTCTCTATTACATACAACAAACATAGCCAGACACCCATCGACAATGACCAAACGCACCCCCGGACAGCTCAGCACCCAATCGTCGATGGCTTCGCTGCCGCAGAGGCCTGCCGCGCCCGTCGAGTCGCAGCAGTCGCCGACCTCCGCCCCCTCATACATGGCCGCCTCGGACGACTCCCAGCCCAAGACTAGCCCCAAGACGCCCAGGGCATCGCGCGAGTTCGTCCTCGCTGACATGGATGGCCGCAGTGCCCGCGACAACCGCGCCTGCGCTAACTGCATCATGAAGCTGACCCCCCGCGAGGTTCAGCAGGTCAACTGGCACCTGACCGAGGACCAGCCTTGTCGCCTCTGCCAGATCGCTGAGGGGAAGCCCGAGGCTTACACCAAGCCCTTTACGGACTTCCTCCAGGAGAACCCTACCGTATTCCACACCGTCCAGCATTTCAAGACGAAGCTCAACCAGCTGGACTTCACCGAGGTATGACGCAGTCCCACCAATCTTGCATGTATGTAACCAAGCAATACTGATACCTCGAACCTCTCTCTCCAGCTTCCCTCGTACGACAGCTGGACCGACAAGCTTCAGCCCGGCGGAAGATACTACGTCACCCGCAACGGCAGCTCCTTGATCGCCTTTACCGTGGGTAAGGCCTACAAGCCCGGAGATGGTGTCGCCATGATTGCCGGCCACATCGACGCCCTGACGGCCAGGCTCAAGCCCGTGAGCTCCAAGCCCAACAAGGCTGGCTACGTCCAGCTCGGCGTCGCCCCCTATGCCGGCGGCCTTAACCAGACCTGGTGGGACCGCGACCTGTCGATTGGCGGCAGAGTCATCGTGCGCGACGACAAGACCGGCAAGACGACGACTAAGCTGGTCAAGCTGGACTGGCCCATTGCCAAGATTCCCACGCTTGCTCCTCACTTTGGCGTCGGCATGATGGGCTCCAACAATCCCGAGACCGAAGCCGTCCCCATCATCGGGCTCGAGGGCCCCAACGACGAGGCCGAGGCCGAGGGCCTGGGCAGTCCGGGGTCCTTTGTCCGCACCCAGCCCCCGCGCCTGGTCAAGCTTCTGGCCAAGGAGCTGGGCATCACGTCGCTCGACAGCATCCTCAACTGGGAGCTCGAGCTGTTCGACTCGCAGCCCGCCCAGACGCTCGGCCTGGACCGCGAGTTCATCACGGCCGGCCGCATTGACGACAAGCTGTGCTCTTGGTCCGCCCTGGTGGCCCTGCTCGCCGCCTCGGACAACGAAGACGACGGCTTCGTCAAGCTGGTTGCCCTCTTCGACGACGAGGAGATTGGATCTCTGCTCCGCCAGGGCGCCCGCGGCAACTTCCTGCCCCTCACCGTCGAGCGCATCGTCGAAGGTCTCAACCCGTCCCTGTACGGCCCGGGCGTCATCGGCCAGACCTACGCCCGCTCCTTCCTGTGCTCGGCCGACGTGACCCACGCCGGCAACCCCAACTTCCTCGGCCGCTACCTGGACGACCACGTGCCCCGCCTCAACGTCGGCATGGTCCTGTCCACCAGCCCCAACGGCCACATGACCACTGACGCCGTGTCCACGGCCATCCTGCGCCGCTCCGCCGACCTGTCGGGATGCCAGACCCAGGTCTTCCAGGTGAGGAACGACTCGCGCGAGGGAGGCACCGTGGGCCCCATGCTATCCAGCGCGATGGGCGTCAAGGCCGCCGACGTCGGTCTGCCCCAGCTCAGCATGCACTCTGTCCGTGCCACCACCGGTGCCCTCGACCCCGGACTTGGCGTCAAGTTCTTCAAGGGGTTCCTGGATAACTGGCAGAAGATTTATGCTGAGTGGGAGTAAACCATGTGACTTGGGGGAACGAACTGGACTGTGCGTGTGCATTAGCGATGAAGTGGGGAGCGGGGAAGCATGTTGGTGATTTTTGAGGGGTTCTCCATACTTGGCAATAGAATAGAAACCACCTCCGGGTTGAATGTTACGAGCATCTCATTGAACAAGGTGGGAAAAGAAGAGCGAAGTAGTGAAAACAGTGAACAAGTAAAGAATAAAATGTGTTGTTGTTGTCGTTGTTGTTGTTGGGGGGGTATATTATGCAAAGAGTAAATATCTATACAAGTTTATAAACAAGAGAGGGACAATGACACCTATTCTTGAATCTTTTCGGTAGGTTATCACTGCTCCCAGTCACTTCCTCTATATTAATACTTTGAAGGAAGTGAACGAATCCTTTTCGACAGCGGCACACAGGTTGTCCAGGAAATCCTAGTGCATCGTCCCCCGTCTAGCTAGGTCTCTCGCCTCGCCGATATCACGGCTCATCTGCCTCGTGACATCGTCCTGGCGATTACCGACACCGTCGTTGTCGTCGTCTTCGTCGTCGTCTTCATCGTCGTCATCGTCATCATCCACATGCTCACCGACGGCCTGGGAGTGATCGTTGACGTCTTCGCCTATACTCAGAGAGCGACGCTTCTTGACGAAATCCTGCTTGTGAGCCTCTGCGAGGATACGTGATAGGCCGCCTCGAGAGCTTCTAGCCGTATCGGCGCGTTGGCGCATGCCGCTTTGTGATTGGGTCTGTTTGCCAGCCACGGCCGTGGAGCTCCCCGCCATGCCTTCCTCTTGGGCAGAAGAAGGCATATCGTGATCGTGGTCATCCCCGCGAGACGGCCCGGTATGCGGGCGTTGCAGTTCAGGGCTGTCGGCCATAGGCGGGACTTCGCTGCTAGGTTTGGGGCTGGTGCTGCCGCCGCTGAGGAGCGGCTCCATCCGGTAGGGCAGGGGGATGTCGCGCGACGCCTTGTACTGCGACACGTTGCCGCAGTGCTCGTTCTCGACGCGGAAGAGGGCCCATAGACCCCTTCGGAATATCTCGGCCAGACCGACCAGGAAGGAGACAATGGTCGAGTGCTGGCTGTCGTGCGTGAAGATGGCGTAGAATATCCACGAGAAGCGAAGTATGGGGTCTACCACTATAGCCACATAGTAGGGCCAGCGCTTCTTGAGCGCCAGGATGTCTCGTAAGGCGAAGTGCTTCGAGTCGACCTGGATGAGGGAAAAGTCCATAAAAATGTCCCAAACCGCTGAGAGACGTGTTAGGAGAAGACGGAGAAGAGGCTGGAAGCGGGGAAGACCTACAGGTGTAGAGGCTGTTGACAACAGAAAATGTGATGAAGAGGGCGAGGTTGGTCCTTGATCCGTGAATGCGATACATGGACAAGGCGACGGCCGTCATAATGGTCATGGTGTACTTTCCGCCGTTAGCCAGGTGCGGGAACATGTTGCCCGAGTCCTTGTACCGGCGAAGACATTGCAAGAAACGCCAGATGGGAGGAAGTGCGGACAGGAAACCCATGAGCTTCGAGTGGCTCGAGTTGCATTGCGATGGGTCCTCCCACGACCTCGAATAGAGGCAAAAGAATAGCTCTACGTTCTGAAAGGGGCGTGGACATGAGCTTTGCGTGATCTTGGGTACAGTCCGTAGAAGGGAGAGGGAAGATACATACCGACATGGCATACGTGAGGGAGCAGTACATGTCCCCCAGGAAGAAGTCGCGGAATTCGACTGGGTATATACCAGCCAGTAAGAGGCGCCACTGAGATGACGAACGGCATCAGTCGTCGCCATAACCATGAGCACGGGATGACCCGGATAGGCGAGTACTTACATGTGAGTATGCAAACCATTTCCGGGATCTGTATGCCAATATTCGAAACGGTAGGAAGATGATGACGGCCGTGACGACGATTAATATAACGGGATAGTGTAGGAAGAGATCGTCCGGACCATATCTGTTGAAGTTGGCCCAGGAGATGATGCCGAGAAGAAGGAGGAAGAAGCTGGGGAACTCTGCCATGACAGCCCAGTCGAGGAGGTGGCGCTGGTCGAACTCGAAGATGAAAGGGTAATTGACCTTGTTTCGAGACCATATCATGCAGTCCAGGCAAAAGAGGGCGAAGAGAGAGAGCATGAGGAAGTAGCCGCCGTATATCTGCAAGAGGTAGCCGGTATTGACGCGCACCTCTTCGTCGTCATCTCTCAGGAGCTGAGCGGCCTTGACGAGGCCCTGGATGGTGAACACGATGCCGGTACCGAGGAGGAACCCGCTCTGAAAAGTGCTTGATGCCTGGTCTCTACGCTTGCGGTTGAGGCTGCGCAACTTCTCGGCAGCCAGCTTGTGGTTCCCGCGCTCAAAGTAGCGCGCGTAGAGGTCCTCGGTAGCCTGTATATAGCTGTCTATGGCATCGCTTCTGACGAACCAAGCGTTGTTGACCTTTTCGTTGACGTAGCGGTACGGTGGCCGGGCGTTGACGGCCTTGTCGTGCTTCTTGTTTAGCTTGCGGAAGGCTGTGCGGTTTAGCAGCGCGTACGACTTCAAGAGCTCCATCTCGCGGTAGAACTCCTGCAAGGCCAGCTTGAGCTTGCGCTTGGCGGTGCGGTACGAGACTTCCTGGTTCTCAGGTCGGCGAATGTAGTCACGTCCGGCGTCTCCACCCCTGTTGAGGGCGCCTATATGGGGAGTCTGGGGCATGGACGAGAAATTCTGTGAATTGGGTCCAGGCGGGAACATCTTGCGCTTGATGGGCAATATCCATGTTGAGCGACCCTTGGGGATAGTAAGGTCGTGGTCGGCACCATCGGGAACCTTGGGAGTGCCAGCACCCCCGCCACTGTTCCCCCCGTTTGTCGTCATGGCCACCTCCTCAATACGCCGGTTACGCATCTCGTGGAGCTGGTCCTTGAGCGCCGACAAACGCTGACCGGCTTGGTCCTCCTTGAACCTGTAGAAAGACTCGACTTTGTCGAGTTCCGAGTCGAGGAACGCGTAGAACTCAATCTCCTTCTCACGCACAAGGTCTAGCGACTGCATGCCAACGTCGTTATATGTGTTCTGGCGTGAAGCAAAGCCTTTCCCCGGTCCTTGCGTGAAGAAGCGGCGGATGGATAACGGGTTTGGAGTCTTGGGGTTGGTGGCGCTGGCCCGCCTGGTTTTGGGCAGGAGCTTTCCTACGGAAGACGATGCGCTCCAATGAACAGGAAGCTTGCCGCTGGCCTTTCGTGGGTATGTGGGAGATCCAGGCGGCTGGTTGTGGTTCGATGCCGAGCGCATGGCCGGGTCGGGAAGCTCGAGGTTGCTGTCGTCGATGGGGCTTATCGGGTCTGAGTGTGGCGGCGACGCTACGATGCTCCCATAATGCATCAGGTTGGGGGCTCCGGTTAGGGAGTCGTTCTCACGCCCCCCAGGGATGGCCACGGGCGTCGAAATGCCAGCCCCCCTTCGCCACTGCGCCGGCTCCGCGCCCTCATCCTTGGCTCTGGCTAGATCACGGTATCGGTCGTCGTCACGGTCGTCATCTCGGTCGTCAAAGGTCCCTTGGCGGGGGCTGAATGCATTGGTGAGCGATGGACGAGAAGGAGGCCGTTGTCCTGATCGGGGAGTCGCATTGGCGCGGGCAGTAGCTCGTGCAACCGCCTTGACGTGTTTTTTGCCAGCCTTGTAGTTGAGATACTTGATGCGCCACTCTGCTCTTCAGGGTCAGTTCTGCGTATCCTGGCATCGTCCATTCCGCGAAGGAGAGGTTCAAGAAGACGCACCTGGTACGGCATCCCCCTCCAACTCCTTTGCGAACTTCATGGCCCGTCAGGTGCTACAGCACGCCGCCGACGAAGAAACAGCTGAGCCAGGATTGAAATGGATCAAGCACGTGGATCCAGAGTGTGATATAAACAAGACGATTGCTTGTTTATTTGCGAGTTTGTCCGATCGACCAGACCGTCGGGGGGGGGGGGGGGGGGGGGGGCAGCTCGCTTCTGTCTCGAACTACGGTGGGTGGTCGCACTCTATGATGCAGGGGGGCGTCTGGGTGTGCTAAGACAGGAAGGTGAAAGAAGAGCAAGACAACAAAAGCACAATGAGGGTCAAGGGTCTCCCAAAACCCAGCTGAGCCCCAAGATTCCGATACTAGCACGTCGCTCGAATATCGAGTCCGGAGAAGCCCAGTGTCTGCTGGATGCCAAGGGGAAACCGGCCGCTCCCCAGCCTGTGATGCGCTTGGAATCTAGAACGTGGTCCAGCTTGAGATGGAAGAAATTTTCCACTTTTTTTCTTTCTTCCGCTGGTCCCTGACGTCAACTCGAACTCTCCACTTTTAACCATTTGACCATCTTCCGTCCTTGTGCGCAACGAGGGTCGGCACACGTTCTGTCGTGAATTGATGATACTCCTGGTAGCGGCAATCGATGCTGCAGATATGTTATTCCCGGTTTGAAGGCTCTCATAAATAAGTCTTCCCCTTCGCAGCTAGTCGTAATGACAAGCATTGATGCCCACCCCTGCACTCGTACGCACTGTCGATCGACTGCGTACTACGTCGCATCAATTTCCAGCCGCATCGGTGTGCCAATCAGTCATCTCTCACCTCCATACAACAAACACCGTGAGACGAGGAAAGAGCAAAGAAGGAAAGAGCTCCTGCCAAGTCTATACATGTACATGGAAACGCGTGGAAGCAAACAGGTCTTCGTCGGTGGAAAGTGCCGCGGTCCTTGCATCGTGTATCGTGCCTTCTCTCCTTGTAGGATTCGACAGGAAAGAGCAAGTTCGGCTATGCGCATACATGTATCATGATGTATGTATGCGAGTAAGCACTCGATACTGCGATACTCGAAGAGTCGGACGTGAAATTGAACGACGCAGCGCCAGTCTTACTCTCCGACACACATGATATGCTTATTTTGTCTGACATTTTGTCTTTCGTTATGCCACCGCCCGTGGCGGATGGGAACGAATGTGGAAGATATCAGCATGTATAGTTTGAGCTCATATCGCCGCCACCCTCTCAATTCCTCCTTGCCTGCTGCTGTGATCATTAGTAAAGGCTCCGACCGAGCACGATACCTCATCGAGTGGATATGGCCTCTCCGGGCGAATGGTTTAGTGGTATAATTTTCCCTTAGCACCTCGTCTCCTCCAGGAGATGAACCGCGAAACTGGGAAAGGTCCAGGGTTCGCGTCCAAACGATGGATTTTTTTGGGCTGGGGGGCCAGGGCCGTTCTTTTTTCTTTGCTGCGAGCCTTTACGCCCCCCTCTGCTTTTTTCTTTTCTTTTCTTTTTTCTTTTCTGCTCTCTCTGTCTTTCTTCTTCGTTTGTTTTACCTACACGAGAATAGCACGGAAACTGGGCCGTATTGTCTCCAAGACATATGCCACTGAATTTGTCGAAATCTCGCATCTTGGGAGTTCTTTGGAGGTTCAACAAGCGAGCGCCAATCACCTACTTGTGTTGAGACAGTACAAGGCCTAGTCTGCATCCCATGTCATCGACTCTACACTCGTGCGCATACGAGGCCTCACAGGTTTCAGGGCGCCTAAAGTCTGATATGACTCGGCCCAAGGACACGGCAACGCCCATCCGAAATGGTCTGTCACAAGGACGGATGGGGAATCTTGCGGACAGTTATGTTGTCTCCCATGTCTCGGCTATCTCCAAGAGCAATCGATGCCTGTCGGTCAAGACTCTGAGTAAACAGTTGCTGACGCCGTGAACGCGATTGGCTACGAGCAGGAACCCATCGGCAGGCTAGCATAATCGGGCATGGACTAGAGCGGACTGGTGGAGTGCATACAACCGGATCTTGTACGTGTATTGTTGTTGTTGTTAATCAGCACGGCGGCGCCCTGCACATGGTGCTTCCCTGCACATGGTGCTTCCTTCTAGGACGTCTCTGTGCTGATTGATGAGTTGCACCTGTATGTATGCCACACCGATACATTTCATCCGAAGCAAGGCGCCGTCGGGAATGGCCGACAATGCAGACGGTTAAAACGTTATTAGCCTTTTCGAGGTCGATATCCGATCGGAGCCGTATCTGTCCGCTTACCTCTTAGCAGGCTTGGTTTCACCCCCCCCCCCCCCCCCCTCCTCAGTATGTTCTGTAGACTTTTTTTTTTCCGGCTAAACTTATCCGGACCAGGCATGTAGATGGTGACCTCGGGATGGCACCCAAGTTTCGGATGCACCCATGCTATTACCAACGTCATTGCTGGATTCATCTCTTCCACCGTAGGACGTTGTGATATTGAGCATAGCAGGATACCTTGACCTGCGGCATGGTGTGCGGCACTGGTTTTGTCGACGCGTGAAGAGCATCCGAGGCTCAACGCTCTATTGTTGTGCGCGGTAATAGATATTCGATCAGATAAGCAGCGCACTTGAACCCTACTCGGGTTTAGGGTTGTATCGAACCCTCGCGCGCAACCGTATAGGGTGCAGTTGTACGGACGATTATACTCCCCGAGAGCCTTTTGATGGTATAATGATATATACACCGGGTCAAGTAACCACCACGCCGGTCCTCGCAACTCTGTCAGAGTCGCACCCCGGCGATCCAAGGTCAGCGTCTCTGATTGATTTCATGATCGATTTCATGATCGATTGCAGAACACCCGAGATCTCATCCTGGAGCACGCACATATGCATCTGATTATTACCATAATAGTAACCTCTATGCTTGGATTTTACAGGCCCAGGGCCCGAGAACCTTGAGATAGTGGCGTCGAGAAAATTTATGCTGCAAGCTCGCAACACCGTCTCTTTCTGCAGTGCATCGAGCCCAGTCGCATGCATCTCTCTCATCAGCGATCCGAGAAGCATGGCTGAACACTGTGGGCTGCACCCAGGTTCTCTAGTCCAGCAGGCAGACAGATTGTTGAGCATGTCGCGCATGTTCCGCAGGCCTTGGATCCTCAGACGCTCGGCCTTGTCTATGGACGATGAATGTATCGAGTTAGCTCAACTGATCCATGAGGTGCTCTTCAGAAGTAATCGAAGGCGAGAAACGAACCCAGTAGCGAAGGAGGAAACGGAAGACCCATATTCTGGATGGGCCCCTTGGCATCCATAATAGCTAGCCTGACCATGGTTTCAAATACTTCTTTCTGAGAAAACACCCAAGAGGAGAACATCCAGAGAATGCATTCCTTTCCGTACGAGAGAGGAAGAGGGTCTGTCCGTTTCAGAAACCAGAGTTCAGCAAAGTTTTCCATGGCCTCGTGGCAGCCGTAGTAATCGACGACAGTTGCAATTCTGGCCAGCAACTCGGAGCTGACCGATTGGGGAACGAACCGGTAGCGGCTGTGGATGATGCTGAGGACAGTGAGGAACGCTTCAGGGTCCCAGTCAGTGGTCGTCCACGTCTCTGGAGACCCCTCGCCATCGCTGACTTCCTCAAGCCAGATGCCTCGCGACATGGCGCGAAACACTGGGGAAGCAAGCAATAGATGGCGCGACGAGACCAAGAACCTAGCCTCATCGGGTGTTTCGCCGTCTAGTGCTGTCGGCACAGGATCTCCGGTATGTCGATTTTCTTCTCCTGGGGCAACATCGGGGGGAACTTGTTCGTCTAGGGGAACGTCTTGGGGAACTTCCCTCGCGGGGAGCTCCTTCTCGGGCATCCCGCCATTGGCATCTTCTCTTCGCATCTGTAATCTCTGCTGCCTCTGTGAGGCCATTGATCTCAAGCGTGAAGCGCTGATCTCGGGCCCGTCATAAAACTGGAATGGAACCCTCTTCGGGTTTTTCAAGACTAGCCAAACGTCGCCGTCGGGGTCCAAAACCCTTTCAGTTGCATGAGCCATTATCGTATGCTGTTGATGGATAGAGTATGTGGAGTATAACGTTGGACAGTTTCTACTGTTCACGGCCAAGCCAAGGGATCGTGATGCGAGAGGGGAAGGCTTGCTTGACATGCAGATATGCCTGGTCACTACGCCAATCAATAGTACCGCGATATCTAATATCACCCGACCCCCGAGACGCATGCTTGCCTAACGCCGTAGCTTAGACATGCCTGTTGCTGCCTGCATCTCAGCCATTCACGCAGCGCTGCCATTGCATCACCCAAACCAACTCAAGATGTGTCGCCGGTATGCCATTGCCATGGGACGTCAGATAATACGCAAGAATATGAGGAGATTGTGTCGGTGTGAGAACCCCCACTTCTGGAAACACCCAATGCGACAGCGTCGAACGTATGCATCTACGAAGAGGTGGTTAATATGCTGCTAGAACAATACTTGCAGAAATCAACAATCAAGGAAAACGACATGGCTACAGCCCTTTCCAGTACCTATCGGTGGAATGTCTGCTAAACATGAAAGCGGTAAAGGGGGATCTGAGAGATCATATGAGTAGCTATCCTCCTCGAGATGATCAATATTCGACGCGGGCGGGAGCACAGAGGACGTGAAAACTAGCATCAGACATGCGGGCAGTGACTGTTCATCAGGCTGCTCAACGAGGGAGCTGATGCAGACACCTAGATAGTCACGTCGAGTGGGAGGAGAGTCTCTGCAAAACAGGTTTTGGAGGCTTTGATGACGGATTGGGTCAATCCGGTGATCCCCCAAAGGCTCTCTCGGAGAAGTTTCATTGATGTAGAGGCCACGAAGGTCAACCGTAGTTTACAGAGGCCGACAGCTACTTATATTTCACGTCACCTTCTGTTGCTTTCCTCTCCGGAAGGGAAACAAAGGGTAACAGATGTAATTTGGATGCTACAGAAGAACGAGATCGAGAGGTACGCAACTCATTGCGGAGCTCGTCTTGAGAGCGTTTCGAACTACGAGTCTGCTTGTGGAGGAGAGTAGTGAGGTGAGTGACATGGTCTGCTAAGTGACAGCGTAGTCGTGGCGAAGTGGCGGATACAAAGGCATGGTGGGTGATGATGATGGATCACATACATTTGTATACGAGCTATTTACGTTTTCATCTGTTCTGGGGCATGGTGCAAAGCCCGGAATGACTATATAAAGTTCACGAAGCTACATGCTGCATATGTGTGTATAATATACATGGACACTTCAATGACGATGTGACGAACGTCGTGGATCTAAATGAGAA